ACCAGCTGAGATCGGTCCACGAGAATAATAACGTAGCTGCTAAGGATCTAAGTGTTATATAGCATAGTGTTATATTATGAAAGGCCTCTGAGTTTAGGACTGGTTTCTTTCAAATTTTAAAAGGTCTAAATGTTCGAAACTTTCCAAATCCAAATCCAGCTGAGAAGTGATTCTGTAGAGTACCAGTTCATGTATGATTATTGTCAGTATGATTATTGCCTTTAGGATAAGCAATCGTGATCAATTGGTGCTACTGTTATGGTTGGCACCACTATGATTATCATCGTCGTAATCACTACCTATCACTATGATAAATCAGAAATATACAAATACTACCACTATCATGATGATCATCCGTTGTTCTCGTTATCGTTGTCAAATATCGTTCATGTTTACAAGTTTACAATACGCAATAGACATGCTGACATGCTGCATGTTTTTCGGGAATCTCGGGTGGAGTGGAGCACCGTACAAATTTGGGCGCAGATAACAACTGGTTTGAGGGAAAAAAAATCAGCAGAGAGCCACGGTTATTCATTCTCTAGACTCTCCCTTGGAAGACAAATACCAGTGAAAATGCCAGATCTCTACAGCATCTCCGCATGCGTCAGCGAATCTCGGTACATTGGCTGTCCTGAAGCCAGCCATCAGTCATTGCTTCCGAACATGGGGCAATTTGTTCTCCAATTTATGGCCATGTGAATTGGGAAAATGATGATAAACCGCTGGATATCGGGTTTTTTTTTGCAGTACCCTATTTTAAGACAAAGCCAAATCCCAGAGAAATTCACGAGAAATGATAGTCCGAATAAGGAAAAAAACATCGTGGCCGGTCTTGACCGCGGCTTATGTGCTGAAAGCATGTGTTTTGTTCGACTTAGTTTCATCCTCACCAATCGGAAAGGCAGCCATTCTGAGTCATTCTGCTTGGATGTGCATTCTGAGGTTCCAACCCTTCTTATGTGCCCGGTGTTTTGTTAACCACATACAACTGGTCTTATACCATTCACAACTGACAATTGGTGACGGGGAGCTATTATATGATGTTGGGTATGATCATCCATTTGCTCAGAGTGGCTAGGCTAATCAGCCAATTCACAACTGGGTGAACTAAGCATTTCATTTATCCCTGCCCATCTGCACCATGTCTGTCTGACAGCCTTCTCAAAGGGCGTCCTCCAGGAGAGGTTTATCCCCGGCCAAGAAGAAAAAAATTAGAGCGCCCACGACCTTAGCTGCTCAAACTGAAGGATTTGGGGGCCCAACAACGGGTGAAAAATGAATGCGGGAAGTAAACTTAAAATTCACTTTGAAAGATGGTGAAAGAGCTGGGGTTGAGACACCTTTTTGATGCCATTTGGGCAGTCATCTTTGTTGATACCGGACATATCTCCACCCATCGCTGATGGCAAGACTCAACCTTTGCATCAAAGCTGAGTTTGCTACACTTTATTTTTTCCACAGCGACCCTTCGGTCTGCCGTATTGTTTTTGCGTGTTGAGACATCTCTTTGAGCCCTTGGCCTATTTGGACTACACATACATTCTATTACATTCTGACGCAGGATAGCTGGTGCATCTAGATGTTCACCAAGGTACCAGGAGGAACTCACATGAACTCACTCAGCTGGAGGGGAAAAAAATAAACACTCCAAATCCACAGGAGTTGCTCCATTCTCCCTGGTTCCCTCACTATCAGCACCTGAGTCAGCAAGCGAATATTGAGCTGCCCCGTTTGACCAAAAATCACCAAGACTGTTGCACCATCGTTGGTGGCTTGATCTTTGGCTGCACCTGCGTCCACTAGCAGCGAGGCAATGTGGACATGACTCTGGTGAGCAGCAGCGAACGAGGCTGTTGCACCATTGCCTTCTGATTGATCTTATTTTGGTCGCTAGCATGGGACTGCTAGCTGGTTTTCTGCATGTTTTTTGATGCACCAGGTTCGACTAGCGATGGGACTGTAGGTGATCGTCTCAAAATGGCGCCCAAAAATAGGTGAAAGGAGCAGCAAAAAAAATTCATCATCCGCAATCACAAAACTATCTGCCATCAAGATGTTTGGCACATCTGGAGATTCCAACCTTGGCTGCCAAGGTCTGTTTCCTTGGCTGTTTCACCTTCAAATTCATCCAGTACTGCTTCTGTCTCGCTGCCAGGAAAGACACTTCCTTTGCTGCAAAGGCCCAGAGCTGCATCTGTCCATTTCTGCATCTTACCAGAAAAGAAACGCCTTGAATGTCACATACAAAGAGCATTTCTCCAACATGTCAACTACAAAAAGGATTTGGGAGTTTCCTGAAAATATATCAACTACCGCAACTACAACTCTGTAATTGGAGTTTGATATGAACAATTGATAATATTATTGTTAAATAATATTATTAATTGGAAAGTGAGTAGTGCCCATAGGGGAGACTGTCAGTATCGTTGAACCAATACCTTTTGTTGTCATAAGATGTTAAACCGACCTTGCTTTGGTTTATACTGTAGATTTGGTGGTTCTTACTTCTGATAGCATTGAAATTTACATTCTTTGGTATGTGTGCGTGGAGTGTTGCCTCATAGTCTTTCATATCTAAATCCCTTTTGACTTTCAACTTTGGAACACCCTTCGCTTTCTTTTCTGCTTTCTGTTCGTTGAAGACTTTTAGACAATACATTTTCGGACGCAAAGCAATGAAGTTTGTGATGATTTTTCCATCCATCTCGTCCTTGAACTTTCCAAGGACTTTTTTGTTAGTGGCATCATAGCAAGGATGCTTCTTATCATAACCGCTGAGGTCCATATAATCCTTTATTCCTTTCCAATCTTCATAGATGTCTTCAGTGAAAGTTTGTATAACATAACTGTCCGTGTCAGTGTATATCAGTCTTACATCATCCTTATACCTTGCTTTTAAGACATCATAGTAGAACGAATACATATGAACCTTTGAAAGGTCTAAAATTGACATCCCCAAATAGATAGGTTTATCCAACTTCAATACGGTTTTTGTCTTTTCCACTCCTGCCAGTTCTTCATTTATAGTATGACATCCTTTGTGGTTAGGATTGTTGATACATTTTTGTATGCTCTCCTGCGTTGATACTAATTCAAAGTCTATATGGTTTCTGACATTCTCCATTGTCTTTCCATAGACAGCGTTGTTCATCAGTTTAAACATATCTTTCTCAAAGTCGTTCTTTGCCACTTTTCGCTTTTCAGTGTTAAAATCTATCCAAGGTTTCAACCAACATCTCTGTTTGAACTCCACCCCTCTATGAACTTGTTTGATTTTCATACCATTTTGAAGATAAGACTGTAATGCCTTGATATGGACTACATAGTTGGTTTTATCCATTTGGTTTAGGATAAGTTTTGGTTGTTTCTCATCCCTTGCCTCCTTGCCATTATAGTAATGTCTATGTAGTTCCCTTTGGTGTTTTGAAAGTAGTTTCTGTTCAACTTTCATATTTTCGGGTGCTAATGGATAATCTGATTGTTCGTCCTGTATTTCCTTTGGATACTCTAAATCAACCTCCAGTATGTAGGCATTGTCATCGTTCTCATTCCAGTCCATTATCATCTTTTCTGTCAGTATCTTCTTTATCCATTTCAGTTTTCCTATGGGTAGTTTCATTGACATTGCCAGTCCATAAAGGTTATTAGCATCTAAATCCGCCGACCCCGGCCTTCGCCAAGGCAGGGGCGGCGCCTGGGACCACCGGAGGTGTGGAACCTGCTTTGTCACGGCCATGGCCTTCACATTGTCCAAGGCTTCCACCAAGCCCTGTGGCTGTAAGCTCCTGCTGTTCCAGCGTTGCAACCTGCCGTTTGGTGCACATAGCCTCTGTTGTTAGGGCGTTCAAGCCTGCCCCTTAAAACCCTCCATTCCAGGGTTGCAGCCTGCCCTTTGCCTGCACATAGCCCTCTGTTGTTCGGGCGTTCAAGCCTGCCGTTTGCCAGGCTTCAAACCCTTCAAACTCTTACAACCCTCCAAATCCCTCGCGGCAGCTTCCACCAAGCCCTCTGGCCGTCAACCTTTGCTGTTCCAGCATTGGCGTGCCCTTTGCCTGCACATAGCCCTCTGTTGTTACGGCCTTCAAGCCTCCCGTTTGCCAGCCTTCAAACCCTTAACACCCTCCGTTGGGGCATTCGTTTGCCAGGCTTCAAACACTTAAAAACTCTTAAAACCGTCCAGATCCCTCGCGGCAGCTTCCACCAAGCCCTCTGGCCGTCAGCCTTTGCTGTTCCAGGGTTGCAGCCTGCCCTTTGCCTGCACATAGCCCTCTGTTGTTAGGGCGTTCAAACCTGCCGTTTGCCAGCCTTCAAACCCCTTAAAACCCTCCGTTGGGGCATTCGTTCAAACACTTCCAACTCTTAAACTCCCTCGCGGCAGCTTCCACCAAGCCCTCTGGCCGTCAGCCTTTGCTGTTCCAGGCTTGCAGCCTGCCCTTTGCCTGCACATAGCCCTCTGTTGTTAGCGCGTTCAAGCCTGCCGTTTGCCAGCCTTCAAACCCTTAAAACCCTCCGTTGGGGCATTCGTTTGCCAGGCTTCAAACACTTAAAACTCTTCAAACCCTCCAGATCCCTCGCGGCAGCTTCCACCAAGCCCTCTGGCCGTCAGCCTTTGCTGTTCCAGGGTTGCAGCCTGCCCTTTGCCTGCACATAGCCCTCTGTTGTTTGGGCGTTGTGGGATATTGAGTTGCGCTCTGAAAATGGGAGACCAAAAACATAAAATGAAGAGTTCTCGTTGTGTATGGTTGTGCTTGTCATCCTTGTCAAGTGCTGGTTGTCTCAATGTATCGCTTCAAAAACTGTCCACAGCGAAGCCAAACACCCTTTTTCCATCCTACAAAGGTCTCTGAATGTGGTTGATGCCCTGTTCATTTGGCAACGCAACACCGGCAAATCAAAAAGGGTGAACATGACATCAGTGTCTTCGGCTTTGTCAGGACGCTTCTTCTGCAACATTGACTTCAGAGCACCACACCGCTTCTTTTGCCCCAGTCAGAAAGTCATTCAGTGACGAGGTCAATCAAGCATTCGGCACGGATGGTCAGAACGTCCCGCTGCTCCTGAAGGAAAAGTCAAGTTTCCATACGGCACTCGGGGAAGTTGAAGTTTGGGAAAAATGAAGTTTCCCAGTGGGAAAATTCTTGAAGTTCATGGGAAAATGGGGTGGGAAGCGCTCCACTCCAACCCTGTCCTCAAGGTGCTTAATCGACATCATCACCAAGCCAAGTTAGGAGTTGTTGCAAGCCGCCTAATATGTCTCTTGCTGCCTCTCCTGCCACTACTTGAGCTACTCGTGCATCCACAATGGGACTGTTGCAATTTGGAGCAAGAAGAACGCCAATAACTGATTTTACCGGCGATTCCGCGTTCTGCACCGTGTGCTTCACTGCGTTCACATTCTGAGCAATATTTGAAGCCTTTTTGTTGCAGGTTTCTGCATTCGTAGCTCCAGTCACATCCAAGAGCACCTGCCAAGTTACAAAACATACAAACACATGCAAACAAAGACTGAAATGACGGGATACTGTTTGTTTGCAACACATTCAGCCTTCCAACTGAGCTCAGGACTAATTCATCTGCTTCGGTCTTGAACCAAATGTCGAAGCCTTTGTGCGTGCCAGCCGTGCCACCTTCTGAAAGCGCGTGATACATGACACCATCCTCTATGCAGCGGATACCATCAATGGAGGGGTCTCCCTTCTTTGTGAAGACTCTTGCGTTCTTCCCATCGATTTGTTGCAATCCGTCTCGTATTTCCTTGCATTGAAACTTATATTTGCGAGGCTTGCTCTCAAATTTAAAGCCGTTCTGTTCCTTAGCCGCTTTGCAGGCAAGAGCCCACAAATAAGCTCGCTCTAAAAGCATACCGTCACACCAACTCCCAGATTCCATCAGAGATGTGCAGAATACTTCTTGGGCGTTCCTAAAGACTGACGAGGCTTTATCCCTGGCATCTTGAACTGCCATCAGCCTCTCCAGCGAAAGAGTCAGCTTCCGGTTGTCCAACGAGATCACTCCCGCATACCTTCTGTCCTCTGCCCGGGCATCTTTTATGCCCAACAACAAGTCCACTGCTCCTGAGACCTGTTCATCTAGATCTGGCAAAGCGACGCTAAAACTTCCAAGAGCTCCAATGAGCTTGCTCTCCAGGTTTCCCTCTTTGTCAAGCTGGTCCTGGATGTTTCTGAAAGTTCTGCGCAGGTCGCTCTTCTCATCCTGCGGAATGTGGAGCTGGTCAAGACCAATGTGCACAAGGAAAAGGCTTAGCTTGACTCGCAAAGTTGCGAGCAATCGTTCTTCCTTGCCACCCCAGCCTTCGGCAGTAAGTTTGATTTTCGGCAATCCTGCTGCCGTGGCAGGCGCAGCATCTGAAGCGTCCCTGGTCAACAAGGGGCTCACATCTACCAGCATCATGGCAATTGGAAAGCGGCAAACCTGCGACGAACCCTGTGCGGCTAGATCCGGCGGTTCGATGTAGGTGGCAATCACCTTACACATCTGTGGAAGTGAGCCAGCCAAAAGCAGCGCTCCTCGCCTGAATTCAGGAGATGTGCTCATGAAGCGGTGCTCGTCGATGTGGAGGAGAAGGCGGTTGCTGGCGTTTCTTTGCAAGAACTTCTCCATCTCCTCCTGGAATTTAGCTTCTGTATCTGCAAGGTCTGGTATTTGTGAAGGGAGACTCCATGTTGAACTCCGAGAATAAGTTCCATTCATCTGCCTCCTGAAGCAGTGGAGCATGAAGTCAGCACCAGACCGCTCCAGTTCATCGGTCTCCAAGCTACGCGGCGCTGGGCTGTGACCTCGTGCAAACATGAAACACATGAACATCCCGACAGAAAGTGGACAAAGGAAAGCAAAAGGAAGCACACTTCCAATTAAAATGCAGGCTGGTTGCGATTCGGACCGTTATTGGCGAATGGCATGTAGAGGTAGTGGGTGAAACAATGCTGGCTCCCCAGTTCCACACTTCGACAGAATATCGGCAGGATGGCGGCAGACTTGCCACGCTTGGTTGGAGCTGAAAGGTAAGCCACTCGGTCTCTATCCTCAGTTGCGTGTTCTAAGCGGCTCACTGCGACATCCAACTCTTTGCTTCGACACAAATAGGGTCGTAAGTAGAGCTTGCAAACTCCACAACTGCCTTCTCTCACCGGCAGCGATGCTTCGTAGCTCTCCCATGTCTCCAGCAGCGGGATGTTTGCCGTTTTCATATTGGTCTCAAAGGCATCCTTTGTCCTCTGAGCCAAGCAATCAGTGCCACCAGGTACTTCGTTCCACCAGTTTGACAGGCGACAGCGACCGGTGGTTTTGCCCGTACCAAACCCCCGTTTCCACGGGTCAAGACCAGCAAAACCCTGCGATGAGCAAATAAAGTTGCACGCAATCCAAAGCAGTAAGGCTCTCACAAGAAGGCATGACTGCCGACGCAATGGAACTTGACGACCCCCCATGGCACAGTCTGAACTTGAAACAGAATTAGTGCTACTTTGCTGCCGAACTTGAGCGCAGAGCCGGTTGCATGTCTTCTGTTTTTGATTTGCTCTTGCGCTGCTCGTTTCAACACTAGTTGCACAAATTCAGAATATCCGGGCCGCCCTACATTTGAAGCGAGGAGTCGAAGACTACAAAGCCGGTGTTGAGTAGAGAAAGCTCCAAGACAAAACCATTTTCGAAAAAACACAACAGTAACAACAAATCTCCCCCTCATCTGAAACCAAACAATGAAGTGAAAGTTCGGGCAAAAAAGTCCCAAAATCCCCATAGGAAAAAACATCAAAGGTAAAGATGAAACATTGAACAAAAGCATAAAAACCATAACAACCAACAATAAACGCTGGGATGTCCTAGCATCCCCCTTTTACCATTTTTTTCCCAGATATGTTGTCCGCATGTTGAACTGATTCCTTGTGTTCTCAAGTTATGGGAAGAAAGCAAAACACTGTAAAACACAGTGAAATTGACATGTTTCAAAGTTGAAAACAATGAACTTGGATTGCCTTCTGGGGAACTTCAAGCCTCTACACTATCTATATATATATATATTGTAAATATGAATATTGTATGTATGTATATATATATATGTAAATATACGCACATTTGTGTATATATATATATATGTATACATATATATATGCATATGTATATAAGTCTCTTAACTTTGGCAAGTACGTTCACATATTACATGTATATATATATATATATAACAACATATGTGTGATTATGTGTGTATACATATGAGTATATAATATGACTGTTTTGGATGGTTGACCCCGATGGATCAAGAATCAAAACCCGGCAATCAAAATCGTTTGGGGGTCAGGTCGCGTGTATGCGTACGTAGTTCATACATACATCCTGTGTAAAACCCAGGTATTACATGCATGTCTACATGTCATATGTATGCATATATATAGAGAGAGAGAGAGACTAAACGTGTATGCGAATACTGTGTATTACACAGTGTATGTATAGTTGTGTATATATATATATACAGGACTATATATGACAGTGTGTGTGTGTGTTGAACTTCTAAGAGAGCTGCAGCTTCTGATTTTGGCAAGTACCTCCAGGGAAACAGACCTGTGCCCGAACCACGTCAAAATTGGTGGGCTCGTATAAGAAATGTTCGTGAATATTCGCACACTTACTGTATATATGCATATACAGACCTATGGTTGATCCGCCAGAAAAAGTGACGCTATCAAACAGGCCTAGTTGTCCGCATGGTCACATCTCTATCTGTACAGTATCACTCATTTGTGAGGTTTTTGGTGACAAGACCGGCAGATAGCTACGAGTTTCCTTAATTATCCCTCATCCAACTGTACCCACCTTACACAAGAAAATAAGAGTAAGTCTCCACAAAGAGGTGTTCCTACTGGTTAACACGGGTTCATTTTCACCCCAGTGCTTGGGGTGGTTCACTCCATAAGTGGGTTTTTCTGAAAGTAAGGTCCCCCCAAATCCACTGATGAATCATCCGTTTCAATCTCCAAGCTGTTATATATTTGGTTCACACGGGAAAAATTACGGTATTCCCCCTTGACATACCGTGGACCATGTTCGCCGCCCCATCTCCGAGTCGCGTAGTGCAGGGTGATGGTGGCAAAGACAACCTCCCAAGAGCCCGTCCGGTCTAAGATGGCGCCTGAGTCATCTAACCATGCGGGCCATGCGGGAGAAGGGGATAGGGCGGATAGGGAGCCCCTTAAAGATCTTTTATTGGGCAAAAGGTGAGCATGTGCAGCAGTGATAGAGGATAGAAGCTGGTAGAGGTATGTCAAAAATGAATTCGAAGCCTTAAGGCCGCGTTGGATCCTTTCAGGATGAGTCACCCGGATAACCACATTCCAGTTTGAAAAACCTGCGGCTAGCCACAAATCCTGGGACCTGAGTCCAGGCCTACCTTTCACGGTCTCAGAATCATGTCAACGGTTGAATCCCCAAAAAAAAGAAGGTACCCTCTGGTAATTTAACATAGCTATTGAAAATCACCATTTATAGTGGATGTTCCCATTAAAAATGGTGATTTTCCACAGTTATGTTAAATTACCAGAGGGTACACACACTATATAAATGACCACTTCTGAATGTGGCCATTTTGACAACAACACCTCTAAATTTCACTAACAGACCCCGTTCGGAAATGACCAGATCAACCGAACGGAAAATCATCGACTCGACCCCATTGTTGGACTTCCCATCTTCAAGTTGCCAATCAAACACAGCAAATGGCATCCCCATGGCATCCCCGACCTGTCAAGGGCGTTGAAACCAAGCCCGCCAGGGTGGCAAAGGTGTTGCCCAGCCCAAAGATGGCGCCAGCATGGCGTGGGGCGATGTCCAGATGGTTCACACTCACCTGTTTTTCGGCGTACTGGAAAAAAACAGCCTACTTTGGGCCCGGTTTAGGGTAAATTTTAGGAAATCAAGATGTAAAAATAGCAATGTCCCAACCAAAAAAGTGGCCGTCATGTACTCAAAATAGCTTGGAGTGCCCCTGTTTCGTGGGAAGCGCGCTGGAATTCTGAAGATGACACAACAAAGGAATGACAGTTCATGCAAACATCCTATGAAACTAAGAAATTTTGACGTATGCTTTCCGGTCATCTGACAATGGAAAATCCTCTGCAAATACGTGATTTCTGACCGCCAGCTCTTTTCTGGAGGGTAGAAAGAATGATATTCATGTAATACCAAGAATATTCATGGCATTTCTCATTGTAATATACAATAATATACAAGTACCCGGTATACCAGTGATAAGCCATCCCTAGCCATCCCTAATCTTACTGGTCCAACACAAAACATCCAAGTTGTCGGAGGTTTTTTGTTCCGGAAAATCACCGCCAATCAAGCACCGCATTTTGGGGATGAAATCCCAGAAACCCATCCCGATTTGGACGTGCAAAGGGCAACATGAATCAATGGATTGGTTTAAGGGCAAATCTACAGGAAACCATCGATTTTCCCATTAAATATGGGGTTTTCCTGTAAATTTTCCCTTAAACCAATCCATTGAGTGAATGTTTCCAAAGCATGCTTGGTTTCAAGTTTCTTCCAGCATGGGATATGCCCAGTTGCAGAATGTATGACTGTATGACCCACGATGAGAATATGTGATGACCAATCCCACCATCACTAGGGATTGCCCATGCAATGTGGACATAAAGATGTCCCCATTGGTGGGAAAATACCTATGGGAACATGTCCCCATGTGCGACTATAGCTTATCACAGATATCAGCTACATATCTGCTACATGATCAACCATATTTTCCACCATAGATCAACCCATATATCACAAAAATGATTGACCATATAATCCATATCTCATATCATAATAAATGATCATCATCATCATCATCATCAGTCTATGTTTCAACCATTTTTCTGGGTTGCCGTCTAGCCGCTGCGCCCAGGGTTAAGGCGTTGGCAGCGAGGCCCAGATCAACCAGCAGCCCAGCAGTATTGGGATCCTCCACCAGACATGAGATGCATGGACTTATATAACCGTAATATATCCAGAAATATAATCAACAGAGATATATATATATATATTCAACATTAATTCCATTATTCTGGATATATAATTCTGTGTGGATATAAGATTATATGTCCAGAATTATAATCAACAGCGATTAAGGTAGGACTTTACCGACAAATCTGATTATCAATGCTTTAGGATAAGGGAAAGTTTAGGGTTGAAAACTGGCTGGTTCTTACCTCAAATTCATTGGGGATTCCTGTAGATGGTCCCTTCAATTCTGGGAATGGAGACTCTACATAGACCAGTAGATACAGTGGATTCTAAATTACGTCTATCCCTATTAGTGACATATGTTTTTAAAAAAAGTTGACAATCCCACATTTAGTTGATTAACCCTTCCTATTTTCTTATGTGAGCCATGGTCAAGGGATGGTAGATCATTCGGGCATATGGGTTTGAGCATGGGGATATTCATGGGAAAATATTCCTGTAAGATTCGTGGAAAGAATATTAGACATCTATCATGGACATTGATAACCATACAAAATGGGTATATTATTGAGAAAATATCAACCAACCCACAAATCACTGGAATGGGGAAGTGTATGCGGAAAAACTCATAGAAACTCTAGTAATTTGGATGGAGCACGGAAATTTTCTGAGGATAGTTTTTAGTGTGTGTATGCGTGTTTATTAACCAGCCATAGTTGGATTAGTTTATACCTTGGCTAACTGGTTGAAATTTATGGTGGTGATATCTATTCTTACATGGGCTTTTTTGACCAGCTTACAACTGGGGGCGCTTCAGGATCCATGATGATTTTTGCTGGTGTGGATTGATTTTTGTAGGTACAAAAACACAACTGACTGGATTTACATAGCTTGGTTATGGTCTGGAACTTGGTCAGTTTACCCTAATCTATACCCCTTAAATCCGCCGACCCCGGCCTTCGCCAAGGCAGGGGCGGCGCCTGGGACCACTGCAGGTGTGGAACTTGTCTTTCTTAGCAACAGGCATCCCAAGGCCACATCAATGGCTTCTTATGGGCGTCCAGCGCAGGCAATAGCTACCCGAAGGCTAGATCCATCGCGTCCTCTGGGCGGTCCAGCGTGCGCTCGCCAGGCATTCGCAGCCAACAGGCATCCCAAGGCCACATCAATGGCTTCTTATGGGCGTCCAAGCTTTTTCTGGGCGGTCCAGCGTGCCGTTCGCCAGGCATTCGCAGCCAACAGGCATCCCAAGGCCACATCAATGGCTTCTTATGGGCGTCCAAGCTTTTTCTGGGCGGTCCAGCGTGCCGTTCGCCAGGCATTCGCAGCCAACAGGCATCCCAAGGCCACATTCATGGCTTCTTATGGGCGTCCAAGCTTGCCGTTTGCCAGCCCCTAAACCCCTAAAACTCTCCAAACCCCTAAAACCATCCAAACCCCCTAAAACCTTTCTTATGGGCGTCCAGCGCAGGCAGCCAACAGGCATCCCAAGGCCACATCAATGGCTGCTTATGGGCGTCCAAGCTTGCCGTTTGCCAGCCCCTAAACCCCTTAAACCCTCCAAACCCTTAAAACCCAACAAACCCCTAAAACCCTCCAAACCCCTAAAACCATCCCAAGGCCACATCAATGGCAACAGGCATCCCAAGGCCACATCAATGGCTTCTCATGGGCATCCAGCGCAGGCAATATAGCTACCCGCCACCCGAAGGCCAGATCCATCGCGTCTTCTGGGCGGTCCAGCGTGCCGTTCGCCAGGCATTCGCAGCCAACAGGCATCCCAAGGCCACATCAATGGCTGCAAACCCCTAAAAACCATCCAAACCCCCTAAAACCCTTCTTATGGGCGTCCAGCGCAGGCAGCCAACAGGCATCCCAAGGCCACATCAATGGCTTCTTATGGGCGTCCAAGCTTGCCGTTTGCCAGCCCCTAAGCCTCTAAAACCCTCCAAACCCTCCAAACCCTTAAAACCCTCCAAACCCCTAAAACCCTCCAAACCCCTAAAACCAATGGCTTCTCATGGGCATCCAGCGCAAGCAATATAGCTACCCGAAGGCCAGATCCATCGCGTCTTCTGGGCGGTCCAGCGTGCCGTTCGCCAGGCATTCGCAGCCAACAGGCATCCCAAGGCCACATCAATGGCTTCTTATGGGCGTCCAAGCTTTTTCTGGGCGGTCCAGCGTGCCGTTCGCGAGCGTTCGCAGCCAACCGGCATCCCAAGGCCACATCAATGGCTTCTTATGGGCGCTTATGGGCGTCCAGCGCAGGCAGCCAACAGGCATCCCAAGGCCACATCAATGGCTGCTTATGGGCGTCCAAGCTTGCCGTTTGCCAGCCCCTAAACGCCTTAAACCCTCCAAACCCTTTAAACCCTCCAAACCCCTAAAACCCTCCAAACCCCTAAAACCATCCCAAGGCCACATCAATGGCAACAGGCATCCCAAGGCCACATCAATGGCTTCTCATGGGCATCCAGCGCAGGCAATATAGCTACCCGCTACCCGAAGGCCAGATCCATCGCGTCTTCTGGGCGGTCCAGCGTGCCGTTCGCCAGGCATTCGCAGCCAACAGGCATCCCAAGGCCACACATCAATGGCTGCAAACCCCTAAAAACCATCCAAACCCCCTAAAACCCTAAAACCATCCAAACCCCCTAATACCCTTCTTATGGGCGTCCAGCGCAGGCAGCCAACAGGCATCCCAAGGCCACATCAATGGCTTCTTATGGGCGTCCAAGCTTGCCGTTTGCCAGCCCCTAAGCCTCTAAAACCCTCCAAACCCTCCAAACCCTTAAAACCCTCCAAACCCCTAAAACCCTCCAAACCCCTAAAACCAATGGCTTCTCATGGGCATCCAGCGCAAGCAATATAGCTACCCGAAGGCCAGATCCATCGCGTCTTCTGGGCGGTCCAGCGTGCCGTTCGCCAGGCATTCGCAGCCAACAGGCATCCCAAGGCCACATCAATGGCTTCTTATGGGCGTCCAAGCTTTTTCTGGGCGGTCCAGCGTGCCGTTCGCAAGCGTTCGCAGCCAACCGGCATCCCAAGGCCACATCAATGGCTTCTTATGGGCGCTTATGGGCGTCCAAGCTTGCCGTTTGCCAGCCCCTAAACCCCTAAAACCCTCCAAACCCCTAAAACTCTCCAAACCCCTAAAACCATCCAAACCCCTAAAACCATCCCAAGGCCACATCAATGGCAACAGGCATCCCAAGGCCACATCAATGGCTTCTCATGGGCATCCAGCGCAGGCAATATAGCTACCCGAAGGCCAGATCCATCGCGTCTTCTGGGCGGTCCAGCGTGCCGTTCGCCAGGCATTCGCAGCCAACAGGCATCCCAAGGCCACATCAATGGCTGCAAACCCCTAAAAACCATCCAAACCCCCTAAAACCCTTCTTATGGGCGTCCAGCGCAGGCAGCCAACAGGCATCCCAAGGCCACATCAATGGCTTCTTATGGGCGTCCAAGCTTGCCGTTTGCCAGCCCCTAAACCCCTAAAACCCTCCAAACCCTTAAAACCCTCCAAACCCCTAAAACCCTCCAAACCCCTAAAACCATCCCAAGGCCACATCAATGATTGGCAACAGGCATCCCAAGGCCACATCAATGGCTTCTCATGGGCATCCAGCCCAGGCAATATAGCTACCCGAAGGCCAGATCCATCGCGTCTTCTGGGCGGTCCAGCGTGCCGTTCGCCAGGCATTCGCAGCCAACAGGCATCCCAAGGCCACATCAATGGCTTCTTATGGGCGTCCAAGCTTTTTCTGGGCGGTCCAGCGTGCCGTTCGCGAGCGTTCGCAGCCAACCGGCATCCCAAGGCCACATCAATGGCTTCTTATGGGCGCTTATGGGCGTCCAGCGCAGGCAGCCAACAGGCATCCCAAGGCCACATCAATGGCTTCTTATGGGCGTCCAAGCTTGCCGTTTGCCAGCCCCTAAACCCCTAAAACCCTCCAAACCCTCCAAACCGTTAAAACCCTCCAAACCCCTAAAACCCTCCAAACCCCTAAAACCATCCCAAGGCCACATCAATGGCAACAGGCATCCCAAGGCCACATCAATGGCTTTTCTCATGGGCATCCAGCGCAAGCAATATAGCTACCCCAAGGCCAGATCCATCGCGTCTTCTGGGCGGTCCAGCGTGCCGTTCGCCAGGCATTCGCAGCCAACAGGCATCCCAAGGCCACATCAATGGCTGCAAACCCCTAAAAACCATCCAAACCCCCTAAAACCCTTCTTATGGGCGTCCAGCGCAGGCAGCCAACAGGCATCCCAAGGCCACATCAATGGCTTCTTATGGGCGTCCAAGCTTGCCGTTTGCCAGCCCCTAAACCCCTAAAACCCTCCAAACCCTCCAAACCCTTAAAACCCTCCAAACCCCTAAAACCCTCCAAACCCCTAAAACCATCCCAAGGCCACATCAATGGCAACAGGCATCCCAAGGCCACATCAATGGCTTCTCATGGGCATCCAGCGCAGGCAATATAGCTACCCGCTACCCGAAGGCCAGATCCATCGCGTCTTCTGGGCGGTCCAGCGTGCCGTTCGCCAGGCATTCGCAGCCAACAGGCATCCCAAAGCCACATCAATGGCTTCTTATGGGCGTCCAAGCTTGCCGTTTGCCAGCCACCGGAACTTGTCTTTCTTAGCAACAGGCATCCCAAGGCCACATCAATGGCTTCTTATGGGCGTCCAGCGCAGGCAATAGCTACCCGAAGGCCAGATCCATCGCATCTTCTGGGCGGTCCAGCGTGCGTTCGCCAGGCATTCGCAGCCAACAGGCATCCCAAGGCCACACCAATGGCTTCTTATGGGAATCCAAGCTTTTTCTGGGCGGTCCAGCGTGCCGGTCGCCAGGCAGTCGCAGCCAACAGGCATCCCAAGGCCACATCAATGGCTTCTTATGGGCGTCCAAGCTTTTTCTGGGCGGTCCAGCGTGCCGTTCGCCAGGCATTCGCAGCCAACAGGCCTCCCAAGGCCACATTCATGGCTTCTTATGGGCGTCCAAGCTTGCCGTTTGCCAGCCCCTAAACCCCTAAAACTCTCCAAACCCTAGAACCATCCAAACCCCCTAAAACCCTTCTTATGGGCGTCCAGCGCAGGCAGCCAACAGGCATCCCAAGGCCACATCAATGGCTTCTTATGGGCGTCCAAGCTTGCCGTTTGCCAGCCCCTAAACCCCTAAAACCCTCCAAACCCTTAAAACCCTCCAAACCCCTAAAACCCTCCAAACCCCTAAAACCATCCCAAGGCCACATCAATGGCAACAGGCATCCCAAGGCCACATCAATGGCTTCTCATGGGCATCCAGCGCAGGCAATATAGCTACCCGCTACCCGAAGGCCAGCTCCATCGCGTCTTCTGGGCGGTCCAGCGTGCCGTTCGCCAGGCATTCGCAGCCAACAGGCATCCCAAGGCCACATCAATGGCAGCAAACCCCTAAAAACCATCCAAACCCCCTAAAACCCTTCTTATGGGCGTCCAGCGCAGGCAGCCAACAGGCATCCCAAGGCCACATCAATGGCTTCTTATCGGCGTCCAAGCTTGCCGTTTGCCAGCCCCTAAACCCCTAAAACTCTCCAAACCCCTAAAACCATCCAAACCCCCTAAAACCCTTCTTATGGGCGTCCAGCGCAGGCAGCCAACAGGCATCCCAAGGCCACATCAATGGCTTCTTATGGGCGTCCAAGCTTGCCGTTTGCCAGCCCCTAAACCCCTAAAACCCTCCAAACCCTTAAAACCCTCCAAACCCCTAAAACCCTCCAAACCCCTAAAACCCTCCCAAGGCCACATCAATGGCAACAGGCATCCCAAGGCCACATCAATGGCTTCTCATGGGCATCCAGCGCAGGCAATATAGCTACCCGAAGGCCAGATCCATCGCGTCTTCTGGGCGGTCCAGCGTGCCGTTTGCCAGGCATTCGCAGCCAACAGGCATCCCAAGGCCACATCAATGGCTTCTTATGGGCGTCCAAGCTTTTTCTGGGCGGTCCAGCGTGCCGTTCGCCAGCGTTCGCAGCCAACCGGCATCCCAAGGCCACATCAATGGCTTCTTATGGGCGCTTATGGGCGTCCAAGCTTGCCGTTTGCCAGCCCCTAAACCCCTAAAACCCTCCAAACCCTTAAAACCCTCCAAACCCCCTAAAACCCTTCTTATGGGCGTCCAGCGCAGGCAGCCAACAGACATCCCAAGGCCACATCAATGGCTTCTTATGGGCGTGGGCGGTCCAGCGTGCCGTTCGCCAGGCATTCGCAGCCAACAGGCATCCCAAGGCCACATCAATGGCTTCTTATGGGCCTCCAAGCTTTTTCTGGGCGGTCCAGTGTGCCGTTCGCCAGGCATTCGCAGCCAACCGGCATCCCAAGGCCACATCAATGGCTTCTTCTGGATGTCCAAGCTTGCCGTTTGCCAGCCCCTGAACCCCTAAAACCCTCCAAACCCCTAAAACCCCCCAGACCCTAAAATCCTTAAAACCCCAAAACCCTTAAACATACGCTTTTTCCTTCACAGCGCCGTCCTTGACAGAAAACTTGTTCCCACACACCGTTCGATGGTGTATTTGCCCTGTCTTCACGTCACTGGCCACATTCCCTTTGCACGCGGGGCAAACGTAAACATACGCTTTTTCCTTCACAGCGCCATCCTTCACAAAAAACTGGTTCCCACACACCGTTCGATGGTCTATTTTTCCTGTCTTCACGTCACTGGCCACATTCCCTTTGCAAGCGGGGCAAATGTAAACATACGCTTTTTCCTTCACAGCGCCGTCCTTGACAGAAAACTGGTTCCCACACACCGTTCGATGGTCTAGTTGCCCTGTCTTCACGTCACTGGCCACATTCCCTTTGCACGCGGGGCAAACGTAAACATACGCTTTTTCCTTCACAACGCCGTCCTGCACAGAAAACTTGTTCCCACAGACCGTTCGATGGTCTATTTGCCCTGTCTTGACGTCACTGGCCACATTTCCTTTGCAAGCGGGGCAAATATACACATACCCTTTCGCAACGACCTGCGCGTCCCACACCTGGAAACGGTTACCACACGCGCGCCGGTGATCTACCTGGCCCGTTCGTATACTGCTCGTCACAGACTTTTGGCAAGCGGGACAAACATATTGGAAACTTTTGCCTTTCTTCTCTGCTTTTGCTTGATTCGCCAGCAACGTCGCCGGCTCCGTCGCGGCACCCGTCGAAGGACCTGTTGTGGAAAAATCCTAGAAGCTCCTAGCAGATCCTAAAGTTTATGTCTTAGCACCTAAACCACGCTTCACCTGCGCAGGTAGACAAACTGGATTCAACTCGAGCTCCCACCGGTCTGTTTCGTGTAGGTCTTGAAAGTCTTTACTTCTCCTGTGCTTTTATTTACGTACTGATCCTGCCCTGCCACCCCCACAAAGGGGGGTCGGCGGCACCAGGTCGCTAGCCCATTCTATTAAGCCTGAAACATGGTATCATCTGAGATAACCGGTTGTAAGCCGGGTACGAACCATTTACTTACGATCCAATTGACATTTAGCACGAAGAAAATTGACCCCTGGTGCTCAAAAATGGCTGGCTGGAAAAACCTATATATCTTTAATGGGAAAATCATCGTCCCAGGCACCAAAAAGGATGACAAACGGAGGATGTTTCATTGCTAGATTGAAATGCCAAAGGGTATGTATATCAAACTAGACCAACGTAGCCTCATCCAGTCTTACCTGCGGGCTACGTTCAAGGAGGAAACTAGAAGACTTGGAAGGTGTTGTCCCTCTCTTCCCCTTGAAAAGGTTGGGTTGGAGCAACAAGACTTTTGACTTTTGACCAAGAGACATGTTTGATTGCCCTTCCACAACAACAAACCTCGACATCCTGGCGAGTTCAAGATTTTTTGGGGTCCACTCGTTGGGCTCTTATTCGGTGGGAGTACATCATTGTAGGCTATACATCTTCAAATAACTATGTACCCATTTTGGTTGCTTAAACATACTTGAACCACCAAGCATAAGCCGTTCGTCGTTCGTGCGTTCCCAACTGCTCCGTTCAACGGCCTTGGTCATGGGAGACGCAGCCAGCAGCAAGGCAATGGCAGGGACGATCATCCCCACCTGCATCTTAGCCAGGTAGGGCTGTAATTCATGGAGCCCCACTTGCAAAAACACCAAAAAAAAAAACGGCAAAAACCGTAGTTGCCCCCAATTTCGGCCCAATGGTTTCAATGTGGATACAACCTCACTTTGAAAACCTGTGAAAAATACCGGAAATGACCAAACAACATGGGTCTACAGGGCTCCGTTGTGCAATGATGTACACATCATCCATATCCAGAGCGTTTTATCCTAATCAAGCTCCTGGTTGCCGGTTCTGGGTAGCTGTTACCGGGTTTACGTCTGACAGGGATGATTCCCGGTTAGATTAGTTTGACCACAAGGCAATTTCATCGTGAAAGCGATGATAGACCTTGGGATTTCGGTGCAGCTAAGGAAATCTGATTCAAACATAGCTGGATCTCAGCTCCAAATTTGCCAAGTCTGTTTGAACTCCCAAATTCTACAAACTGGGATTCATCTCTACTTTTTGAGGATCATCCGCGTACACTTCCCTGGTATCAATAAGCCCGGCGAATCAATCCCTGATTCCTCCGGTTTTTCCCTTTCCCAAATGGGTTTACACTTTACAACCCGTTTCAATGGCAGATATCCCACTGACGCAAAAATCACTTAGGAGGCCTACTTGGGGTGTGCTGATAACCCAAAGATACTCTCTGGTAAACTAACATAGCTATTGAAAATCACCATTTTTAATGGGAAAATCCACTATAAATGGCCATTTTCCATAGCTATGTTAAATTACCAGAGGGTAACCCACATCCACTTGGCATTTCGATTCTTCTCGACCACCAGATCTCGTCCGTTCCGTTCAGGCCACCGTCTGCAAGCCCTTCCGCAGCCGTGCCACCGGCACGCCGCGCGCAATGGCGCGGTCCGCAAATCCGCCCACTGCCAGGCCAACGGCTGCCTGACAGAGGGTCATCAGCTGGTTCCCCAGTTAGCTAAGTTGATTTCTGAGGAAAATACAGTAAAATAACTAAAGGTTCTGGATGTTTATGGATGTTTATGGATGTTTATGGAGATATCATACTTCAACGGGCTAACCATGGCTAACCCACTTATTTGATGCTTTGGAAGTAATGGTGGATAGTGGCTAGCCATGGCAATTACTCCTCAGAATCCCCAGCCTGCAATACATAGGGCACGGTGGTGAGTGCAGGCCTCAGCAGCACTTGAGGATCATTGGTCGTGTTGAATCATCCGATTTCGGGGCAACATGTTCATGTTGCCTTGTAAAATCAAAGTTCATTGATAGTTCATTGCTTCACGGGCTGAAGTTGAACCCTATGGCCCTATCAACAACCAGCTTTTCCTTTGTTGATTGAACGATGTGTGATGATGTGTGTACATGGAATGTCCATTGCTATGGTTCTCTCAAAGGAATTCAATAGGGAAATGACCTAAGTTGCAGGCGCCAATCTGTTTGCGGAGCCTCTCTACATGGGCCTTGTATCACTGGGAACCACATTTTTTGGTATGTTCAACAAGTAAACCTCGGAAAACTTGCAGTAAACGATCGCATCCCGGATCATATGAAATACCAAAACTGAATGGATCCAACAGATTTTACCAGATATGAGAATATATGATAAATGGATGGAGATACAAAGCCTACCAGTTACCTATGGATCAAAACTCTGGTAGCCTGGTGGACTGCAAAATAGCTTGTAAATGGATGTTCATATCCCCAAATTTATGTAAATGAATCACATCCCCCTAATATTATTAAAAACCTCCGAGATATGTGCCCAAAAATCGATTGATACAAGACGTGCAACCAGAAGTTCTGGGGGCGTATTCAATATGGCAGGAAGAGATTACAGTGATAGGTGTCGAGCCATCTTAATACCGTGTTAAGTTAATTGTACAATTATATCCAATGATGCCCCCATTCATAAAACCCCTTTTTGGGATGGTTAAATCCCATAAAACTCCATAGTAAATCAGTGGAACTACGGAAGTCACCATATCAATCCCCATGTATCTCCATACATCCTCATGTATCATCCATCAATTCTGATTAATTTCCTATAACATATATATATATAATACATATAATATTGTATTGATATATACATACATGTTCGTTGGTTCTCCCCAGCGAATCATCTGAAACCACCACCTGCTCCCGCTGGGCTCCGCACAGTTCCGCCAGAGACGTGCCGTACTGCTCGGAAAAGAAGCTCGGGAGCCAACTCAGAAGACCGTAGAGCCCGAAGCCATTGGTATACCTCGATGGGTCGTGGGTCGGTTCCGCGGAGTTGGGTGGAGGGAATTCACTCAGATTGAACTCATTGAAACAAGCGACAATTCAGAAGATCTACCCAAAACTTGAGGTTCAACCAACAAGAAACCATGTGCCATGCTCAAGGCAACAACATCAACAACTATAAGAATGGTGACCTTTTTGGGCTTATTGGTGGTATCAATCCATACTGCATTCAAACAATTTTTTTCGGGACCAGTGGCGATTTGGTCATCCATCGAATGTACCCAGGTTCAATTTACCCAGGTGTTAATGTAGCACTAAAAGATAGAAAAATAGGTTCAATTTAAAAATTTATCACTATTTGAGCTTCGGGGTTTACCCAGACCTACACTAAGCCCTATTTTCTCTGGGCGGCTGTGCCGCACAAATGGCCAGCACTTCTGGGGTCTTCACGAGCGGTAGGAGCTCCTGAAGAGAGGGAGATGGAGGAATCATGTTTGTTTGTATGTACTTGATGTATAATTATAGACTTATAGATTATATAGATTAAATGGGATTGGATTAGACTAGATTGGATTGGACTTAGATTTAGATTAGATAAGATTAGCTTAGCTCGATTAGATTAGATTAGATAGATAGATATGCAGATAGGCAAATAGGTAGGTAGGTAGATAGGCTCCCGGGCAAAAGAAAGGGATAGTTCTCAAAAAAACAGGAAGCTTTACGATATGTACTTTACCATTGTGGAGAAAAAGACCCAAAATATCAAAAAAATATGTCCCCAAGGTCCCAGAAGAAAAGAAACTGACGCTGGTAACGACGCACCGAAAATTCTCCTCTCCTCCACCGTCTTGCTGACATTCTTGGGCTGGGAAGCAGAAAGCTCCACTCCAGAAGACCTCCGGATAAATCATTCACTTTGTCTGGCGTATGAATCCCGTTGGCAGCTTCAGACCCTTCAAACCCTTCAAACCCTTCAAACCCTTCAAACCCTAGTTCTTGGCAGCCAAAAAAGAATGTGTTTGAAGTGGTTGAAACATGTTGAAACTCCTTATTGGGGGGCCGCCAGGAGGTGAAAATCCATGGGTTTTTCCCTGTTTTTCCACGTTGAGTCCATCAGTTAGCCTGCCAGTTTCAGGAGCTCGGGCGAGCCAGGGTGGTAGCCACAGCAAGGCTAAGGCCCCGAAGCCAAAAAAGGACACCTGCATGGAATAAAAACTGGGATTCAAGCTTCAAAAAGTATTGAAATGGAAATTACCACCAAACCTGGAGATTTACATTCAGAAAATCAGCGGAAATCATCACCAAAACTGGTGTTTTTTTGGCAAAACAAATTGGAAATCATCACCAAACCCTGTGATTTTACTTCACAACCCTATGAAAATGTTGAATTCAACACCAAAACCCGTAAACAGTTGGGACCAGATCACCACAAATTCTATTGGATTTGACCTATGACCAATTTGGAATGCACCATCGAAACATGTTCAAACGGGATGATGACCAAAACATGTGAACTCACGAGTAAAATGTGGATGAAATCATACGGGCAAAAACGGATGGTATGGCAAGTGGTCTTGCAGACAAATGCTACGATTCAAAGCTTGTTTCCTGAGCAAGAAATGCTGTCCAAGCATGTCCAAGCAAGAAAAACATGATGTTTAAAATGGGTCTACCAAGATTTCAGCCTGACTGTCCTGACTTTCTAGAAATACTGGCGATCAATCTTCAAAGCTCTTTTCGGAGTCCAAGCTTTGGTCGGTGATGTCTTATCGGATGAGTCCACTGGCGCCAATGTCCCAAGTTTCGCCTGCCAACCGTAGGTCTCCACAATTCCAGGAACCAGCAAGAAGGCGAACCTTACTACCATGGTACCATGGTACCATGGCTTACAGATCAGCCACCATGGATCCACTGGTGCCAACCCCGTACCAAGAATCCCACCAGGGATGGCGGTCGATGGGACAGTTGGAGGCAACTTTCTGAACATCGAAAAACCAAACACGATTTTTATCCAACCAGGGACATGTTCATGTTCCAAAATAGGAGTCCAGCATAGTTTAGCTACAGGTCAATCTAGGTTTATAACCGGGCTGATCCAGGGTGAAGCCTCCAAACCTACTGACCTGGGGATGGTGGACGATGTCAAGCCACCCTGCGCCCGCATAAGAGGCTGCCGTGACCAGCGCCACGGCGGTGGATTGCCTCACCGTCTGAGGTGGAGCCAACAGGAATTATCCACGTGGAAATTTCTGGTTTGAATGTGATCTACCCTCTGGTTATGTCAAAATAGCTATTGAAAATGGCCATTAATAGTGAGTTTTCCCATTAAAAATGGTGATTTTCCATAGCTATGTTAGTTTACCAGAGGGTAAGCAACAAAGACCACTAAAACGCCTCTGACGCGTCTCGGTTTTCAACCGAGAGCACATTCCTCGAAACTTATCTATCTTGGTGGATCATGCCTCGTTACAATACCATGAATATTGGCCCCAACAAACGTGAATGATGTTGACATCTGAGTGATTCACATAGCTAGCCTGATGAGTGAAGTTATAAAGGTATGTAAGAGTTATTTGCTTAGACACTTCAGTTTGATGATGTTTGATGTAAACTTCAGTTGATGCATTGAGATGTCAAAACCAAACACCTGCATTAGTGTATACACATTTATACAACGTTACATGTTATATGACGGTTGGGTTCTTTGTTGTTCCCAGAGTCAACCATCGTTTACACATCCCCCAAAAAAGTGTCCAGACACTGACTCCGCGGCACCAACTTCGCAATGGCACTGTGCACAGCAGGAAATGCCACACCTGTAATTCGACCGCAGGTCTGGTAGGTGCACCCATTGGTCCATTGGATCCATGGGCAATCCACACACCCCTATAAAGATGTCTATAAAGTCTGTGATGGATATATAAAATGATATAAATATACGTTCCAGACATTTTTGAGGGATAGTATCGGATAGAACAGACCCGCTTGCCGCTTGGGCCGTATAGATATGGATGTACATGCGTGCATATCTATGTAAAGAATTGTGTATATATATATATATACATACATATATATATATACATACATTACATTACATTACATTACATTACATTACATTACATCATTACATTACATTACATTACATTACATTACATTACATTACATTACATACATACATATATACTTGTAGATCTGTATACGTACATCAAACATCTGATATATCTGTATATCATATCCAATATCTATGTGCATATCTACTCTACTACAATGTATATATATTGTATATATACACACACACCAGAACCCTCCACTGCCGAACCAAAACCAAAAAAACTCCCCCTTTCAGCACGTTTTATAATTAACAAAAATGGCAACCAACCGAACCCTCCAATACCCCCAATCCTCCTGACCTTCTCCCAAGCCCAACGCCAAGCGCGTTGCCAGCAACGGCCCCGCACCACTTGCAGCCGCCAGGGGCGTCAGTGCGGTCGCCAGGGACCAACAGCTGAGGCCCGCAGCCAGAATCCACTTGGCACCCAACGAGTCTGCCAGTTGACCCCCCAACAGCTGGGTGGTGGCATAGCCTCGAAGGTGAAAAATGTAGGATTGAAAAAAATCTCAAAACCAGGAGTTCAACAAGGGATTTAATATGATTGAATTGATTTAATGATGATGGAGAGTTGGGTCTCTGAACATGGGGTATTTAACTTGCTCAACCCCAATATATGGCTACCTCAATGGAGATTTTCTTTTTCTTGAAACACTGGATTTCTTGGGTACCCTATTTTCGCACAAACCCTAGCCAACCAAGGGTTGGGTGTATTGGAAATTTGACGCCTGAAACCCATGGGTTTTGACCCATGGATATGGTCCTTTCGAGGTGGTTACATGGATTTTGGAGAGTTGAACTTTGCAGACTTTGCATCATTTTTTGTGGTCGTTTTGAAGGTGGTTGATCTTGGGGTTTGGTTGGGGATGACTTTTCTAGTGCGGGAAAATGCTTAGCTTGTATATTTTTAGGGGGAGGCAATTAGCGAGGGAAAGTTGAAGTTTTAGAAGAAAACCCATGGGTTTTGACCATGCAAAGATGTGAATTCGCATGAAAAACTTTCACCGCTGGGATTCAATTGGCCAGTCTAAGTTCTCAACCAATCGGGGTGTCATCCCGCCTTTGTCATTGATGTTTTAACTTTTTGGAGTCCAATAACCACTGAAACTATCAGTCAACCGTTTGACTGAACTTGGCGGATGCGAAGAATACAACACTCCGGCGTTTTCTGCGTTAGATTGCCAAGTCATAAAGATCAAGGTTTGAAACTAATTTCATCAACTCCTGCACATCTTTGGCACTTCCTCACACGACTTCCAATTGGTTCAAACTTTGGGCGCACAGAAATTTGCAAATCTCACAGTTCGCAAGCTGGAAGCCATTTTTTCCAGCACTAGGTCGATGAGAAGTCCCTATCAAAAATGGTGATTTTCCATAGCGATGACCGGTCGCAGGTTGGAGGGTCCTAATGGGTCCTACACAACGTCCAGCCGCGCCTCCAAAGAAGGCCGAAAGGACTGTGCCCTCAAAGGCCTGATGGGCGAGCGCTCAGGAAGCTGGCCCCTTTTTTTCATGATTCTTGCGGGTATTTATGGTGGTGAAACCGACAATAGTGACTTAATGGATAGTTGATGGAGAATCAGTGGATAACTACATGCGTAGCTCCTGCAAAAAAAAAGGAAGCAAACCTGGAAATGGAATATCTTCGAACTACCATCCTGGAAATGCTTGTCTATCTTTTGCAGGTAGCTATAAAGTATGCAAACCAACAAACTTGAAGAGTAGCCCAAGCAATGAGGGGCATACAAGCAATGCGCTAAGCTAAGGGGCTATGGAGCGTGGAACTTGAATGGATTCAACCAGCAACAACAGACATGAATGATGACAAGCGGCTGTACCCTATGGAAGATCCAGAAAAAGACGGGTTGAGCCATTTTGGGATAATTACTGAGTAAACGTGAGTAAACAATATGGTTTCCCAACTCTCAAATAAGCTTATAAAATGGGGTGCTTTCCCTGACCAACAAATCACAGGTCATGATGAGGCTATTGCCCACTCCCCTTGCTGGTACCATCATTCTTCATCAACATCTACAAGTTGGACACCTGGAGAAAAAAGGAGGAAACATCATCGAACTACCAAACCCCGGTAGTTAAGGTGCCTATCTTTTTTGGGCTTGCTATGGCTTGCTATGGCTTGCTATTTAAGCTCAGATCTCGTAACGGGTAACATCGGTGCCACATCATCGGCATCCCTTGGACTCCCCGATGAGAACCTTGTCCCACTGGAAGTCTCTGGCCATTCCAATGATGGCTACGGAAATGTTTGAGCGATCCTGGGGATTCCACACCGGATTCCATCCAAGGTGGATGATCATCCCCACTCTGAGAACAGGCTCGTTTTTGGCGTATAGCAACCGGCCCCAAAGCAATCCTCAATTTCGGGCTTTAAGGAACACTGCTCATGTCTCTAACAGACCGAATTCTAGCTTGCCATCTCGGGGTCGTGGACTAACAAAAATTGCTGTGTTTGTTGGTTTTACCATGGTTTTACCACATTCGCAGCAGACCCACAAAAGTCACTCCTTTAGTAGGAAACCATCCGTTTTAGGGGATTAAGAATGGTGCCGGGCTAGCGGGCTAGCGGATTTTGATGCGTTTCCTACGAAAAGATGTGGATTTCCCATTGAATAGCCGGGTTTTTGCTCGGAGTGTGATGATTAATTTACAGAATGGGTTCACAGGACAATCTACAATACACATCAATACACCCCTTTCGTGATGGGAAAGGAAGAAGGCTTTGTTGCAGATTTTCCCACAAAATTGACTCACTGATGCAACAAAATGTGATAAACCCATCAACATCCACTATCAATGGATGTCAATGGAGGATTCTGCATTGCCTTCTTTCCATATCCGTTGCATTTCAAGCCTTCACCAGACTTTTGGAGCACCAAGTTCTAGGAGATACCTTTAAAGCCTGTTTCTGGTATAGTAAACAACCCAAAAATGCAGCAGAACAGGTTCAATGTCCTACTATGTTAGTTGGATAACAAACTTTTCTAACTTTCTATCTTATTTTGGGATTGAAAAAAAAAACTCTATCCTTGCTGCTGGTTTCCATCACACTCACTGCTCCAAAAAGGGGTACCGATGGATGCTCACAAACAGGGAGAACTTGCACTAGCCACTAGTCCAAATTTCGGCGTCCATAATTTTGAACCAAGGCATTCCCGAAACGGAAATCTAAAATCATCCAGACATTCATTGTCATTGTCCATGGGGAAACCGAAAAGTGCTTTTGTACTTGTTAACTGAGTTTGTAACACCTCCAGGAATCCTCCATCTTGAAAAAAATCGCAAGCACTGACTTTCCTGACCACTTGACCACTCCAAGGGTCTGCATAGCTGATCATGATGCCAAGTGCACACAAGATCACCACGGTCTCCCATCCCTCTTGGCCGCCCTCTTGGCCAAGCCTTGCCTGCCAAGGTATCCAAGGTCCAAGTGGCTGGTGATTTCTGTTTCGGAAGAATGCCAGGAATGGCCCGTCAAAATGAACAGGTCCAATACTAAACCCAGGTTTCTAGGGGCTCAAGATCAGGCGGAAGGGATTGAGAAAAGAATGATCGAAATTCCCGACCACCCTTGCTGCCCAATGGTTGGCAGGGCATCAAACCCAGCAAGGAGTTGTAGAAAGCCCTAATCATCAGTCAGTACAATCCCCCATAGCGAATCACAACATCAAAGTTTGCGAAGTAGCAAACATCCTTGATCTGTTCTTGTGAAAAACACAGAGGATGGCTTCGCAATGCAAATGACCAAAAATTATCAAATGCTGGCGGGCCTCAAATAAAATGCAGCAATCGCATTTTTGCAAAACAAGACACACGCACTCAGCCTCTGTCCCTTTTCAACGGACTTTGCTGGCCAGGGAATTTGCCCAGAGCTTCGTCAGAAAGTGAATCATTCGGAGATTGCCTTGATGTGAAGCCAAATCCAAATCCGTTGCTCCGTTGGCGTTGCATCACTATCGGCATCTGAACCAACAAGCGAACAATATTGAGATGACCCTCTTTAGCCGCAATCAGCAAGGGAGTGGAACCATCCTTTGTGGCTTGATCTGTGGCTGCACCAACCTCGACTAGAAAGCGGACAGTCTCTAGCTGTCCCTCTTGAGCTGCAGCGAACAATGGTGTTGCTCCATCGTTTGCGGCTTGATCTTTGGCTGCACCAGCTTCGACTAGGAAAGTAACAATCTCGAGATAGCCTGTGCTGTGCCAGCTGCAATGAACAATGCTGTTAGACCGACCATCTTCATTGCCGTAATCTTTCACTGCACCAACTTCCACTAGGAAGCGGACCATTTCGAGATGGCCCTTGCAAGCTGCAACAATTAAGGGTGTTGCACCATCAAAATGGGTTGCTTCTTGATTTTTGAATGCACCAGCTTCGACCAGTCGGTGGACAATGTCAACATTACCCAATTCAGCTGCAATCCACAAGGGTGTACCCCCAGAAAAATCAAGCTGATCAATCTTTGCTTTTGCCTCGAGTAGCAGCAGCGCAGCTTCAAGATATCCTATCTCCGGGTCTTGAGGCCGTTGCAGACACTTTTCAAGTGAAACCAAGTCGTTGTCTCTCAAGGCCGAAAGCATGTTCTGCCTCTGTTCAGCGTCCAGTGACTCCAGTGGCCAATATTCCGAGACCAGCTGGACCCCTGCCGTGAAAGTGAAGCGAAAGTCGTGCATCGGAATCTCGCGGGTATTTTATTTTCCAAGAAGATTCTTTGCCACCTGGAAATGCAAACCTTGGCAGCTCAAGTTTGCCAACCTTGGCTGTCTTCAACTTCGTCATCCAGGAGTGCCAGCGTCTCGCCCGAGGCTACCACGTCTGAACAGCCTTCAACTGGAGCATGTCTTTCAGAGAGCTTGCATTCCACAGACAATATCTATGTGGCTTTAGTTGGGCGTCTACATTTGCGGCTATGTATAGAAATCATATGTTCCTTGTTGTGGATACTTGTGTAAAAATAGCGTTTTGGGCAATGTTTCTGGCTGAATTTCTCCAACTTCATCCTAAACTTCAGGTTCTCGTTTGCTCCGTGGGCTCCGTTACCGTGGCCGCCAAAGACTCAACGCTGCACTGCGGAATGTCTTGATTTACCTTCCCAAAACGTCGAAAAAAAGTCACGCCATGTTGGGATTTGGGGTTCCCCATTTTAAGCAGCCCTCAGGCACGCTGTCGCCAGAAATCCCTTGTTGTGATTCCCCCCTGATACGATCTGTTGGGTGTATCCAGCTGTCCCATCTGTGCCTCCTTCCCTTCAGGCGCAAAGCTTGCCGACACATCCCTGGCTGACCTGTCAGAGAATCTATATGAACATATTGGATTTTTACAGAGTTTGGAACTCGTATGCTTCGGATATCTATTATCTTAAGATTATCGGCTGTTTGTTGTGTCATAACTTAAGAAAGTCCCAGTTCTTAGATTCTCAAGAACGGATCGTTGTTTTCGTGATACATGTTGGGGTCCGAATGTCATGAGATCATGAGGCGGAATACATAACCAAGATCAAAATCGTTTTTGAACACCTATCGGCTCGTCTTAAAATCAAGACAATAATTCATGGTCATTAGTACTATATAAATTCACTTATTTGGGCTTGTCTGAAAATAGAGTATCGCAAAAATTGATGCGTAATTTGTTCCCTTTTGAAATTGTCATTTGAATTGGATATGGTTTCTTACATATGAGAAACTATGTATATATATATATACAGATATATCATGATATATCCCCATAATATCCCATCACTGTAAATCCCCAAATGCCCGAATTTTGGTCCTTTCAGGGCATCTCACACTCCTCGCCTCTCCGTGTCGGCTGAGCGCGACCAGCCGGCCAGCAGGGCGGGGAAGAGGACGAAGGTGGGACAGTTCTCCTGGCTGAAGCTTTGGCGGGGTGATCAAGCAAAACTGTGACAGGAAACAGCTGGAAACAATGGGTGTGTCTGAAAATGTCGTGTACCCCTAAACCCAATGGTTTTGCTGATCATTTTCCCTATTAAATGGCTATTTGTTTGGGAATATACCCTATTTTCAGACACAGCCAATGGTGTTGATCGGTTTTTACCCCTGGAGATGCACAAATTTTATGGGATTCCTGTAAATCGTGGCTCGATCATCCTTGCCTCCTCTGCAAGCAGCAGGAGACAGCCACAGGCCTGGTTGGTGCGGTCGCAGACCCAAGACCCGATGATACGATGATTTCACCTGTTTCAATGAGAGAGAAGGGGGCTTAACTTCCAGTAATGATGCGGTTAAATTCCAATAATGATGGGGGATAATTACTCATGGTGCTATCATGAATATCAGGTGATCATAGGGTTGGTTCCTTAAAGAAAATCGGCAGGAAACAGTGGATTTGCCGTCGCCAGTCCCATCCTGGATCCAAACGCAGAGAAAGTACCTGGAAACCCCACTGGCTAGAAGCTACATGGAACCACAGAGATTGATACCCTCTGGTAATTTAACATAGCTATTGAAAATGGCTATTTATAGTTAGTTTTCCCATTAAAAATGGTGATTTTCCATATAGTTACGTTAGTTTACCAGAGGGTACCATCATTGAACCTGGCAACGAGAAAACTTCTGCTTTCATGGATGTTCCATTTTGCCATTTCGCTTGAGATCTTCAGTCGCCACCGCAACCTATCAGCGAGGCACCAAGCCCAGGGCTCCCAGAGCACGCCGACGACCACGTGGCATTAGTCCATCAGTGGCTGAACGGCTGAGTTTTTTTTTGAAATGGATGATAGCTGTTGACCGAACTTGGGCGATCTTGGCTTTTTGTGCAGATTGTGAAGCCTATTGTTCACATTTGGGTTTGTCTGGAAATGAGGTATAACCCCCTATTTATGGCTATGTGTTATAGGGATAATGCTGATTACAAACGGGTTTTTGTGGCCTTTCAATCAAACCCATATAAAACTAATATAAAACTATAACATCGTATAACCATCCGCAACTGCCTCTCACCGCCATTTTCAGTAGCTCTATTCGCTCTATTCCCCCTTGACTGCAAGTCTTCTGTGGATTTACCATCCTTTTGTATCTTTAGGATCCTTCAGGTTCTGCTCGATGTTTTGACTTCCGGGTTTGGTAGGGGGGTCATCAGTCATGTTCTCCTTCAATGATCTTCTCTACTGATCCATCAAATAGCCAGAAAACTGGCTTCAGAGCAAGAAATGGCGTCCGTGTTGGCAATTGACATAGTCATAGTATGTCATAGTCATCCCGAGAAAAATGCTGCCACACACCTAAATTATGATTATCCTGTGGCTGGAATATTTCGAGTCATCGGGGTCTCAACAAGTTTTCGAGTCATTGATTTTCATGGGATATTTCACCTTCCCCATGTCCAGCTCCGGGGGTTGCAATCAGATGGTGAAACAAGGCTGGGTGAGTCAAGGACTGGTGGTCGGTTTGACTTGGTACATCCGGACCGAGTCATATGGCCAATTGCTGTTTCCAATTAAGGCTACAACTTCACTTACGAAACCATCCCAGCTATAGACACCACTTGCAACCCCACCTGTCATCAGCAACTCATGTCGTCCCATCAAATCCTTGGAGTCCACCTACTACCGCTGAAAAAAAGTGCACCTCTACTCTCCAGGAGTACTGCACTCCGTCCTGCAACCAGGAGCCATTCAGAGGTGATTTAACCTTTGCCTTGAAAAGGGTTTGCCATTGCTTCTTGGATTTTCTTGAGGGTCAGTACCTTTATGTCTAGACCATAGAATTGAGAGATGTATAAATAATTCCAACTTACGGCCAAATGTCAAATGTGTTGTACCTGTAATCCTCAAATCACCAAAATTGTCTTGGGGTGCCCAGGTTAAAAGAACCACATGCGTCAACATAGAACGTTGCCCTGTGGCAGTTCATCTGTGGCAGGACAACGTCTGTTTTTCAAGGTGCCTGTCTTGGTGAACCGTTCATCATGCAGCGATTGTCATGTTCCCATTTTCTACGTTGGTTCTCACTGACATGGGTTCATCATGGCTCATCTTTCACCTCGGCCTTGTTGAAGGGTGGATTGCTGTGGTAATCTTCCATGTTCCACAGATTCCACAGTACAAAACAGGATGGTTCAACAGTTCGACCCTACCATCAGTTTCAATTTATGGGATCCCGGGGGAGTACCGCAGTTCACATCAGAATCAACGGAATCGTCCAATGGGGGATCTTCATCCCACAGATCTTCGGTTTGAAAATCGGATGCTATAAACACCGGCCAGCATTCTCATCTAAGTTTCCCTGTTCCGAAAATGGCAGAACTTGGAGGCTCCCCGTTTTCACCGCACGGAAGCCACTGGAATTCACAGAGCAACGGCCCGAATTTCGTTGCGCAGATTACATCGCGTCTTCGAGCTCCGGGGTTTCCTGCAGGGAGACCCCACCATGGCTTGGTGAAAACGTCGCAGGGAGACTTCGAGACCTGTCTGAAGTGATTTTCAGTAATAATATGCATAATATATTATGATTGTTATGGTATATCATGGTTTATGTCGGTACATCACATATGTATAATATATATATATATGTATTTATATATATACATAGGTTGCTTGAAACCTCTCCATCTTTTGGGTCCTCCTGGAGGAAAAGGCCGTTTTCTCCACGCCATCTCCATCGCCATGTCGCGCCGCGTCATCTCCATGGCCATCTGCCACGGCTCTCCGTGTGGTGGGGACGATCTACTGCGCTCTACTGCGCCTTCGCTTTCTCCTGGGCCTGTGCATAGATGGCCATGGACATGGCCTCAGCCGCAGTCACGTGGCAAGGGCTGTTTCAGCCTGAAAGCCCATGGCTTTTTCGGGTCCAAATCCTCCACCTTGTTGGAAAACAAGTTTGGAAAACCCCCAACTAGATAGAAACATTGGAAACCTGGAAAATTAAGGGGACAACATCATCCAACTACCATGCTGAAACACGGTTCCGCATCTTTTGGGGGACCCGTACGGAGTAAGAATTCAATCTACGCTTACGTTTTGTTTCACCATCTGCCTTGCCCACTTCATTCAACATATCAACCCGTCGGTCGTGCGCGTCATGCTCCGCCGAGACACACAAATGCTGGCGCCCAAGTAGAACTGCCAGGAGGGCCAATGTCGCAGGATCATGGCAGTCATTCCAGCAGTGGTGAAGATGGACACGCTGAAGACGTAGTTCTTCGCCTAGAACAAGCATGGCGATATTGAAGCCCTGCCTCTGGGAGATCTTGAACTGATGGAAACTGATGGAAACTGATGGAAACTGATGGATGAACTGGAGATATTCCATAGCCCAGCCAAGAAGATCAGATCTTTATCTTGTCAAATTTCAGGTGCCAAAAACCCAACACACACAATGATCTATTTTGGCTTGGAAACCCATGGGTCCAAGGGTCCTCCATTCTCGCATGTACCAGGGATGCATCTGAACTCAATTGGCCAATGCTATAGGACCATCGACATGGGCGGGTGAACATCCATAACTCCCATAACCATGGGGCGGATGATGGCGGATGAACATCCATAACTACCAGCTATTTACCTGCCTGCATCACCTGCCGAAATTCTCCTATGAACTGTGCCCATTTCACTAAAGAAAAATGCTCCAACCTCCATCCAACAGCCCACTCTCCGGCAAAGCACAATTGCATCGATGCGTCTCATCAGCAGAGAGATGAGGATGCCGTTCAGCGCCTCGTTACCAAGTGCCAAAGCATCTGACCTGACGTCGTTAAATCAGAGCAGTTGGTGAAATCCCTATCCTTAGGGTCCTTGGTTGACAAAATCCCTTTTTGATGATTGTCAAACGAAGAACCCTTGACGTTGGGGTTCCCTCAGAAAAGGTTCCTAAGTATGAAAATCCGGGAGCCCTCTCTAAAGCGGAGAGTGGATCATGTTTTCAGAAGTCCCCAAGTTTCAAGCGAAAGACGGGATCCAAACTGCCAAGTTCAACATCAGTTGGCCCAAAAAACCTAGTTCTCCCTTTGACAACCTCCCCCATTTTGATGGTTAGTACCCATTTGGGGTTGCAGTTCCGCTCATAAGTTGTACAACCATAGCTGTGTTCCCAACTTCTAGGGGGGGGTTAATACCACCCCCAAGTAGAATTAGTACATGGGAGATCTTGGGGATACAGCCCTAAGATATATCCGGTTGATCATCATTTGAGTTTGTCTGAAGATGGGGGTTTCCGGTTAATGTATGTTGACATCCCAGTAATCTCCTCGACTAATAGTTGATACCCCGATACCCCCTTTTATTGCCTAGTATGCCCAACTTTTGAAGCATATGCAAAGCAGGATCATCCGGGCACCAGGACCACACCCCACTGGACTGCTCGGCGCACGCGCGCAGGAACTCGGGGTGAGGACGCTCCTCCCCTGGCACCAGCAGCAACGCTGAACCATTCAGCAGCAGGCTGTGGAGAGCCATGTGCCTGGGCCCCATGGCATAGCCATGGACCAATGGAGGTTTAGTTCGCTGGGAAAAATCATGGAACTATTTCGGGAGGGTTTTCCAGCTTGCAGCATGTGACTGACTCCCAAAGGCTACGTTCCAGGGTTTGGTAAGTCACCAGCTATCATCCCTCCATGCATAACCTCTGGCACACCAAACTGATGAACCAATCAAAGTCTGGATCAAAATTCAGTAGTCCCAAATGGGATGGTCACAATACCACACCTGGCCAGACCATTTCTGTTGGTGAAGTACCTGCTTCCGTTGGTCGAATCCCAAAGAAAAAACTGATCCCGCAAAACTGACCAATTTTTTGATGAAGTTCATGGTTTCCAAAAACCCTATCCCCCGCTAGGATTTTCAAATCCTCTGGAACAAAATGTGTTCATCCTTGGAATTAGGTAGGGATGTGTAGTGCTGGTCCCCTACGACTTACAATTCACTTACAATCATGATTGTATACATTCATATTCACACACATGTGGCCAAAAGAGCCCATCATTTGCAGCTAAACCCTCCATCCATCCTTTTTTCTCCATCGGTGAAGCCACAAATTGGTGGCGAAAATCGTGAGCTCCGCGCTGCTGCGATGCTTCAGAGCCATCTCTGTGCAGACGCCGCCGAGCCTCAACTGTGAACAACGGCAGAACACCGGGGTGCAGGTGTCACAGCAAGAATGAGGGCGGGCAAAGTTTTGAAAGGTGCATATGTATTCACATATATATATATTATATATATATCCATATTATATATATATCCATATATATATATATCCATATATATATATCCATATATATATATCCATATATATATATCCATATATATATATATTCATATTATATATATATCCATATTATATATATCCATATATATATCCATATTATATATATATCCATAGATATATATCAATATATATATATATCCATATGTATATATATATATATTCATATAGATATATCCATATATATATATATATCCATATATATATCCATATATATATATCCATATTGTATATATATCCATAGATATATATATCAATATATATATATCCATATATATATATATCAATATGTATATATATATATCCATATATACTCAAGAAAATGTCTATATTTGTCAAAGTCCAAATCCGATACTGTAAAAACATTTAGTACATACATACATACATACATACATCCATCCATCCATGCATGCATGCATACATACATACATACACTACACACTTAAATTCATACATGCATACATACATACATACATACATTACATACAGACATACATACATTACATACATTAGATACATACATGCATACATGCATACATACTTCCAATACAGCGCATTACATTACATTACTTTACTTTAGTTTTTCCCACCATACATACATACATACATACATACATACATACATACATACATACATACATACGTACATGCATACATACATACATAACATCCATAATATACATAACACAACAAAACAAAACATACCATAACATACATACATACATACATGCATGCATGCATACATTACATTACATTACATTACATTACATCACATCACGTCACATTACACTACATTACATACATACATACCATACATACCATACATACCATTCATACCATACATACCATACATACCATACATACCATGCATACCATACACTTTTCCACAAACCATTTTTTACACCAACCAGCTCTTACACAAACGAGCTTTTACACGCACCAGCTTCTACGCAAACCATCTGTTCGACCAACCAGCTTTTACACAAAGATACACAAACCACGTTTTGCACCAACCAACTTTTACAAAACAACTTTTACACGAATCAGCTTTTACACAAACCAGCTTTTACACAAACCAATTTTTAGACAAACCACCTTTTACCCAAACCGCCTTTTACACCAACCAGCTTTACACAACCCCTGCTTCGGGCCTGTAGGCCAAAGGCCAGAGGGCCGGCGGAATGCTGAAGGCTGTCAAATAAATATTGTAGATATAGTAGATATACTAGATATTGTAGACATGGTAGATATAGCAGATATGGTAGATGTGGTACAGATTCTAGATATTGTAGATATAGTAGACGTAGTAGATATAGACATCCAAAACAAAAGAACTAGTTTATGAACAAACCTCGTATCATTGGACCCGCATCAACCCGGAGCGCAGCTCAGTTTAAAGTTCCCTCAGTCTGCGGCGAGGAGAGCATGCAGTTGATCAGCATCAACACAATGCCCAAGAGTGGTGCCTGCCCAGGAGACATCTACCGCTTGGCAACATCTCGGTGAGTAATGAAGCGGGAATTTCTCCCAGGATGCAACGTAGAAATATGAAACAACACTGATTTTCTACCTCTATATAAATATAACATATTCATCGAAGGAAGTTTAGAAGCCAAACTTCCGACAATATGGACAAATGAAAAGCCGAGGTGGGAAGAGTCAGAGAAGAGAAGACAAGAAGAACGAAGACAGGGAAGAGAAAGAGTCAGAAGACAGAAGATGCAGGTGCGTGAAAAGGTAGCAAAGTCGCGAAACACTGTGTTTTTTCCAATGATACCCTGTCAAAAGTGAGCAAAACGTGGGGGTTTGTAGCATTTCCAAAAACGATGGCAGGCGTGGGACATTTGCAGAGGATCTGCAAAGATGCATTTCGCGTGGCAGGCGCAGTACAAGAGACATGTTCATCAGAGATGTTAGGAGGTCAGAGCGCTGATTTCCTGAGAGGGGTTGCATTTTGGAGCATTAGATCTGTAGGTTTGATGAGATGATTTTGCGTGACAGGTGCAGCACTTCGTATGACCTGGCATCACTTTTTCGTGGCAGGCGCGGTACAATCGCAAAACGCATTGGTAAGTTTTGCAGAATGGCTTTGTTTTTGACGTTATCAAGTTCAAAACATGAGAAAATCTCGCAAAATAGCTTTGTTTTCAAGCTTACAAATAGACAGATAGATAGCTAGACAGAAAGATGGCTGGATAGACAGACATGCTGATAGAGAGATAAACAGATATATAGACAGGTAGATAGACAGATAGATAAACAGATAGATAGACAACTGCGACTACACTACAACTACAACTACAACTACAACTACAACTACAACTACACAACAACTACAACTACTACCACTACACTACCACTACTGCTACAGCTACAACTTCAACTACACTTCAACTAAAACTACATTTGCAACTACAACTACAACTACCATTACACAACACTACAACTACAACTGGAAGTGTAACTACAACTACAAATACAGTTACAACTTCAACTACACTACACTGGACTACAGCTACAACTACCACTACCAGTAAACTACACTACAACTACAACTACAACTTCAGCTACGCTACAACAAGAATTACCACTACACTGAACTACAACTACACTACAACTACAGCTACACTACAACGACAACTACAACTACAAGTACAGTTGCAGCACACTTCGCTACACCACACTACATCCTGCAGTTGTGGGTGAGGTGACCACTGCAACCACTCCAAAAATAACAATCACCTTTGGTCCATCAGTGGAGTCGATCTGCCATCCATGACGCACAACAACCAACCTTTCCTATAGGTTTAGGTTTCCTATTTTTGAAACTTCCGCCACCGCCTTGTGCGGTACTACTGGTACTTATTTCCAAACCTCTTTGATTAATAACCCTAGTCATATTGTTGTTGGGTAAGAGAGTCCTATTGCTCAATTAGTATGACCTTCATGTCTCCATTTTATAAAAATGCTCGCAAATATCAGCTATGACCTTCCCCTAGTGGCTCTGTCTGGAAATTGTCGGAATGCCCATTCCGAGTTTTGTCATGATGTTCCCCAACAAAGAAATTGCCACTTGTGGGGGAATAGTCCCATTCTCAGACGAACTTGGATACAGTTGGATACGAAACTATCCCCATGGATATTCATACTGTCAGGTCCAAACTATTAGTGCATGATTCATGACAGTTGGTTTTTAAACTATCCGTATTTCCGTACCACTATGAAACATTGTTCAATGCAAACTACATCAAACTATCCCCATGCAAAATCATATTTTTGCTAAACTATGGCTACTAAACTATCCCATTACATGCCATTAAACCATCGTTTTTTTCAGCATGCCAAAGCTCCGTTGCTCCATCGCATCTTCCTGCCTGTGGAAACTCACGGCCATCATCCGAGGTGCCATTGCCGCGGCCGCCAATGGCCACACCTGGAGGTGGCCATGGGGATATGCAGTCGTAAGCTACTAATGTCAACCCTGGATTGATAAACCATGGTTTACTAATGGGGGGTACTCCTCAAACAGTGGTCATCTAATACTCACATGGTAGCTACTAATGGGATATTCCATTATACAATAGTTGGTTTATGTTCCATAGCTATGTTGGTTTGCTAGAGGGTATCATCCCCATTTTTCTTGGTTAAATGCCATTAATGTGGGTAAAACAATGCCATGAACCACCCATGACTGGGAGTTGTTGGAATAAGAACCACATTACAGTATATGGAGCTGTCCGAAAATGGGTGTACCTACCCAGTTACCATAGTTGGTTGTGTCAATACTAAGTTTTGGTCTTTCGGGTGGTTTGGGGGTATTCTAGGAAACCCCCAAATGGCTATGAGTCGAAACCCTGGGACCCGGATGGTACTCTAAGTCATAGATGGTTTATGATTGTTTTCTCCTCCAAGTATGGTGATAATGGGTTTTGACCCATCCCCACATGGCACTAACTAATAATAAAGGGGGAGATAAACCCGAATAATATCTACCATTACATACCAGTAGTACCGCACAAGGCGGTGGCGGAAGTTTCAAAAATAGGAAACCTATAGGAGAGGTTGGTTGTTGTGAATCAGAGATGGCAGAGCGAAGCCACTGATGGACCGAAAGGTGCTTGAGGTCTCCTCTCTTTCTCTCTCTTTCTCTGACTATCTACTTACCTACCAGCCTATCTTCTATGTATCTATCTATCTATCGATCTATCTATCTCTCCCTTTCTCTCTTTCATCTCAGTACCTATCTACCTATCTACCTATCTACCTATCTATCTATCTGTCTATCTATCTATCGATCTATCTATCTATCTATCGATCTATCTATCTATCTCTATCTATCTATCTATCTATCTATCGATCTATCTGTCTGTCTGTCTATCTATCTATCTCTCTATGTATCTATCTATCTGTGTCTGTCTGTCTGTCTGTCTACCTGTCTATCTATGGTGCAGTGTCATCCAGTCTAATGTAGTGTAGTGTACTGTAGTGTAGTGGAGTGTAGTTGTAGTTGTAGTTGTAGTGTAGTTGAGTATAGTGTAGTGTAATGTAGTGAAGTGTAGTGGAAGGTAGTGTAGTGTAGTAGTGTCGTGTAATGTGGCGCATAACTCGGAATTAGGGTTAAAGGCATCGTAGGGTTAAAGGATTTAGTATTAAAGGATTTGTGCTTAATCCACTTTGGGGTTAGAGGATTTTAGGGTTAAAATGGCGTAGGGTTAACAGACTTTAGCGTTAAATCGTGATCAGATTATAAACACTAGTTAAAGGGATTTAGGGTTAAAAGCATCTTAGGGTTAAAGGATTTAGGGGTTAAAAGGTCTTAGGGTTCCATGGGCTTAGGAATAAAGGATTTTAGCGTTAAAGGATTTAGGGTTACGGACAGCTTAGGATTAAAGGATTTTAGGGTTAAAGGGATCTGAAGGTTACATGATTTAGGGGTAAAGCCTTCTTCGGCATGCTACGAAGTACGGATGCTGCAGCGCGATCGTGTGCAATGAATTACGGCTGCTGATACGCCATCGTGCGGTCAGAAAAAACACACACGCTGGCCCGCAACGAATTCCAAGTGCTGATGTGCCATCGTGCGGTCAGAAAAGACACACACGCTGGCCTGCAACAAATTCTTCGGCATGCACTGAATTACGGACGCGGCAGCGCGATCGGATGCAATGAATGACGGCTGCTGATACGCCATCGTGCGGTCAGAAAAGACACACACGCTGGCCTGCAACGAATTCTTCGTGACTCACGGATGCGGCAGCGCGATTGGATGCAATGAATGACACAACCCAACATCGGATGCAACAGCGGTAGCAAAAAAGAAAAAAGGAATTCCAATACTAGTGCATAGCTCCTCCCTGCTGCATCCCACGTTTGTTTATCGATCTATCTATCGATCAATCTATCTATATGTCTGTCTATCTATCAATTTTTCTATCCTTCTATCTATCGAGCTAACTATCTCTCTATCTGTTCGTCTATCTGTCTCTCTATCGATCAAATGCTCTCTCTATATATATATATATATATCTCTCTCTCTATCTGTCTGTCTGTATATCTGTCTATCTGTCTATCTATCTGTCTATGTCTCTACCCATCTATTTCTCTATTTGTCTTGGTGTCTAACTAGCTGTCTATGTGTCTTTGTATCTATCTGTCTATCTCGCCATCTATTTCTCTAGCTGTCCTTCTGACTATTTACCTATCTGTCTGTCTATCGATCTATCTATTTATCTATCTGTCTGTCTGTGCATCTATCTATGTATCTATCTATGTGTCTATCTATCTATCGACCTATCTATGTATCTATCTATCTGTCTATCTATCTATCGATCTATCTATCTATCTATCGATCTATCTATCTATCTCTCTATCTCTCTGTCTATCTATCTATCTCTCTATGTATCTATCTATCTCTCCATGTATCGATCTATGTATCTATCGATGTATCTATCTATCTATCTATCTATCTATCTATCTGTCTGTCTGTCTGTCTGTCTGTCTGTCTGTCTGTCGATCTGTCTGTCTTTCTGTCTGTCTATCTGTCTAGCCATCTATCTATCTATCTCATCTACCCAGCTGGCCTCTCTCTCTGTCTCTTTCATCTAATTACCTATCTATCTATCTATCTACCTACCTGTCTATCTGTCTCTCCCTTTCATCTGTCTATCTGTCTAGCTGTCTACCTGTCTATCTGTGTTGCAGCATCATTCAATGTAATGTAGTGTGGTGTAGCGTAATTTAATGTAGTGGAGTGTACTGGAGTGTAATGTAGTGTAATGTAGTGTACTGGAGTGTAGCGTAGTGTAATGTCCTGTAGTGTAGTGTATTGAAGCGAAGCGACATCCGAACCTCCAAAAGTGGTCCGAACCCCTGGTGCTTTTAACATTTTGACTTCGAAATGTCCTTCGCGCCACAACGGCGTGCACTTTTTCGACATCCGAACCTCCAAAAGTGGCGCGAACATGTGGTGTTTTGCACATTTTGACTTGGAAATGTGCTTCGCGCCACAACGGCTGCACTTTTTCGACATCTGAACTTCCAAAAGTGGTCCGAACCTGGTGTGTTTTGTACATTTTGACTTGGAAATGTGCTTCGCGCCACAACGGCGTGCACTTTTTCGACATTCCAAAAGTGGTCCGACAATGGTGTGTTTTGTACATTTTGACTTGGAAATGTGCTTCGCGCCACGACGGCGTGCACTTTTGCGACATCGCAACTTCCAAAAGTGGTCCGGAGCTGAGGTGCTTTCTACATTTTGACTTGCAAATGTGCTTCCTGCCACAACGGCGTGCACTTTTTCGACATCTCAACTTCCAAAAGTGGTCCGACACTGGTGTGTTTTGTACATTTTGACTTGGAAATCTGCTTCGCGCCACAACGGCGTGCAATTTTTTATCACTCATCTGGCCAGCTGGCTCCGCACCCGCCGCTTTAGCGAGCCTACTTTTCGACCCTCCGGAGCCACAAATCATTGGAAAAACACAGTGCTTCGCGACTTTCCTACCTTTTCGCGCATCTCCATCTTCTTTCCTTCTGATCTTTCTCTTCTCTCTGCCTCTTCCCTGCTCTGCTTTTCGTCTGTCCATATTGTCGGAAGTTTGACTTCTAGAGTTACAAATGAGGAGTATACCCGTAGGCGCAAAGACCTATTATAAGTTGGGATGCAACCCTACAACTACGGTTGCATCACCACTTTTGAATGGAACTGCACTTTCAAGTAGCAATATATGGCCTAGGTATGCCTAGGTCCATTTATCTCTAGCATCATTTTCTACGGTGCCATGCTTGTCGCGTGGATTTGAGGTCCAATTTAAGTCCGGCCCGGAGGAAGCCCTCCAATTGATGAAAATCTGTGAAGGGGCCTTACATTTGGACCTCTGCTACCGAATTATGCCATCATTTTGGCTTTAGCAAGAGGACAGAATCGAGTCGAGGATCCAGCCGTCAATAGAAGGAGAGCAAGCCACTGTGAAGTGTGTAGCTTCCTGGACGGCCAAGAAAGTTCCATCGTTTACTAAGCCCAACTAGCCCAACTGTCAAGCAGAAAACGGACAGAATCTCATGAAGAAAGGTGCTGGAAAGCCTACCATCCATGGGTTCTCTTGTTGCTGAAGAACTGCGATCTCCAGTTGTAAAAACAGGAGATTCCTGAAAAGACAGTAGCAGTCTCTGGAGACAGCATACGAAGTTACTGGCTCCATATGTGGAGCCCCTGTGTTCGGGCACAAGTGGTCAGGAGCCAGGTTCAAAACCAAATTTCCCGAAGTCCTCACAGTCCTTCCCCCTAAAATTCAGGTTGTTTCTAGCCACTCAATGTGATGATATCTTATTGAATGATAAAAAGCTGGGACGTAAAACCGCCTGGCGAGACGGGGGATGTAGATAACCACTAGTCCGGATTAGCATGATAACAGCATGGGATTGATTAGTAATGTGGTAAGCCCAATGCCATGAACCATCCTATTAACCAACCATTTGGGGGGTCGTTTTACATCGTCCCATTGCTAGATGTATATATCTTAGCTAAACTCAAAAACTCGCTGCCGTGGATATGTTGAAAACCGCACGAAGAGTTAGCGGGGGGGCGAACGTAGGGGCGAACATGCGGGCGAACGGGTGGACGAACGTCGCCCGCACGAGCGAGCGGGGGGGCGAGCGGGGGGGCGAGCGGACGGGCGAACGATTCGACTAGTCTTGTTTTGCCTGGTGATAATTAGTACAGTCAACCTGTGCCGAAATTATTTTACACCTACTTATACAACCCAAGAATACTGGTACAAAGTTGTTGGTATTCGAAACCCGTGCAATTTTGAGGGCGGGCCCACCCCCTTGAGGGCGCATTAAGGGGTCGCACGAAGGGGTCGCACATACGCATGTACGCACGTACGTACGCATGCACGCACGCACGTTCATGTGCATGTACGCACGCACGTTCACATGCATGTTCAGAAATAAGGTTACCTTTAAGGTTACCTTTTATATAAAAGGTAACCTTATTTCTGTACGACCCTAAGCCTCCTAAAGCATATTTAGTATTAGGAGGTCACTTTTCAAAGGTAACCTTATTTCTGAACATGGGTCTGAACATGGGCTTGAACATGGGTCTGAACATGGTACCTACGTACGTGCATACGTGCGAACGTACGTGCGTACGTCTGTGCGTACGTATGTGCGTACGTGTGTGCATGTGTGCGTTCGCCCCCCCGTTCGCCCCCCGGTTCGTCCCCCCGTTCGCCCCCCCGTTCCCCCCCCGTTCGCCCGCCGTACCCTCGCTCAGATGGCCGTACGCCCCCCCACGTTCAATACGTTTAAATAACTTCAAAAACAGGCCGCAGCGACCTTTTGGGTTTAGCTAATATATATCTATCGATCAACTTCTATTGGGGATGATTTCTGGCATTGGTTTGTCACATAATGATACGTTCTTACCCATTTCGTTCAATGATTTTCTCAGCTATAAAACTCCGTGGCTAGTTCGGACATTTCCCAGCTAGCCATGTTTGATCACTGGCATTTCCCAGTTATTTCCATTATGTATCCATGATATTCCCATGTTTTCCCATCATTACTGTATTACCACCACCATCATCATCATCATCATCATCGTCATCATCATCATCATCACCATCATCATCATGATCCCAAAACACCCGGACGAAGTAGGCGAATGACTTGGACATCAGCATGCGAGAGGCCACGGCCGTGAAAAGAATCCTTGGGGAATCCGAATAGCGCGCAAGCCACGAGTTTGGCGAGAAAGTGACCACGGGAGAAATGGAGCTTTGGAAAATGAGGAAGTTGAAGCAACAATGAGTTTTTAACATCTTTCAACTATATCACCAAATTAAAAGCTGAACACCAGTTCGCCTGGCTTCAACAGAATTTTCAAACATGTTGACCCAAAATCTCAGCAGCTTACCACCGGTGTCCCTTTTTTCCACTCCGGAACCAACGGTGTCCGGTTGTTTCGCCAGGCATCTTGATGGAGGCCACCAGTTGCAGCATGGGAGGATGCCTGAGGTGCTACCTATGGTGACGACTGGGGATCCTCCATTTTTCCAGAAAGATCCATATTAATGTGTGTATCATATCCGCCGACCCCGCCGATGGCAAGGGGGAGTGTGTCAGAGAAGACATTACAATCAGCCAGGGGCAAGCAAACACATGATGCGAGCAAACTGCCAGAGCCAGAGAGAGGGAAGCAGACAAAAGAAGAAAGCAAAGAGCAAGCAAGCGAGTCAGGCGGAAGCAAAAGAGATAAGGAAGAGGAAAGCAAGCCTTCGAGCCTTGGCAGCTGGGCGTTCAGAAAGCAAAGTTAGGCAGAGGCAGCCGCGGGCCGAAGGCCTGGTCCGTCATTCAGTAGCATGGGGTTTCGCTGTGGTGAGGCCCAAGGTTTTGGAGGCTTCTGCAAACCACACACAACAACAACAACAACAACAACAACAAGCACAAGTACAACAACAACAACAGCAGCAGCATCAACAACAACAACAACAATAACAATAATAATACCAACAGCAACAACAACAACAACGACAACCGCAACAACCACCACAACAACAACAACAACAAGCACAAGCACAACCAAACCAACAACAATAACAATAACAACAGCAACAACCACCGCCACCACAACAAAAACAACCACAACAACAACAACCACAACAACAACGACCACCACCACCACGACAACCACAACAACCACAACCACAACAACAACACCAACAACAACAACAACAACAACAACAACAACCACAGCAACAACAACCGCACCAACAGCGGCAACAACAACACCACCACCACCGCCACCAACAACAACAACCACAACAACAACCACAACAACCACAACCACCACAACGACGACGACGACGACGACAACAACAACAACAACAACAACAACAACCACAACCACAACAACAACAACAACCACCACCACAACCACAACCACAACCACAACCACAACCACAACCACAACCACAACCACAACCACAACAACAACAGCAACAACAACAACAACAACAACAACGACAACGACAACGACAACGACAACGACCTCCACAGCAATAACCACAACGCCAGCCACAACCCATGCCGCCCCAAAGACCCCTGCAACCGCCGCCCACCTAGTCCCAAGCTACCCCCCGATAGCCCCAAGCTGGACCTACATAGCCTCCCGATGGGGCAACATAGCCTTGAGCTCTTGCTCCCTGCTCGACCCCTATCACCTCAACATGGGCCCCTGGCCGGCTGCCGCGCGTAAGCGCTTAAATCATGTGTATATATAAGGAACTCAGTCATTCTAAACTATATAAGGCGTTGAAAAAGATCAGGGGATATCTGAAGGCGTACCTGGAACTACGACAAGTATCAAGAATATGAAACCAAACAAGAAGCTGAGTCATGAAAATCAACCACTGTTAATAACAACAAATAGATTTTGTGCGGGCACAGGTGCAACATTCTGGCTGCGGCTACAGTCAAAACGTTCATCAGCAGATACACTGCAGCTGGCAATGCAAAAGAAGCCTCCGCTGCTGAGGTGTCCACATGTTCCAACCAGCACGGAAAAGGAAAATTGCCATGGCGGGGTAACAAAGCTTGGAGGAGCCACAGGGACATCCATAAGTCATGGTAACGATGGTAGTCACTGGTAGTCATGTTTGGTCGCATCAACTTCTGGCACCTTTCGTGGGGGAAGAAAACCATGGAAGTTTCAATACCGAAAAATTCCCAAAATATCAGGAAAAAACACCAATAGGGAAAAACATGAAAACATGAATGTCTTCTTGCCCCCTGATTGCCTTCAGAAGCCTTGATTCTGAAGTCTTGACCCAGAATCTGATGTACCGAGCCACTGTGTGCCACCAGCCACTCCAAACAGCCGCTGACATCCCTAGCCTTAGGGACGCAACAGAAAGTGGGTCCCAGACACGAAACCAAAATCCACCCTGGAAACCAAAATGGCATTAGATGATGTAAAATTATGTTTCCAGTAGGAAAATTGTTGTTCAAATATGCTCAAACAATCCAACATTTTCAGGAGGGGAAAACAACAAGACGATAGGAACTGCCTGTGCGGGGAGCACGGGGGCTGGCTGGGGACTGGCCCCAGGCCCCAGATGCAAGAAATCTAATGCATCATCTTCCCATCCCCCATTTCCAGACCCAACTAGAAAACCCAAAAAGATTGTCCTACGAAAACGACTTAAGTTGACTTAAATGACTTAACAAAGAAAATTTGAAACATCATCCGAATCATCCGATCATCATGTCGTCCGCCGAGAAGCCCACGTCGCGAAAGCAACGCCAGGCTGCAAACCGCAGCCTTCAAGGCCTCCACTGACAGTTGGAAGAAGGCCGGGGGCAACGCCACCTGCCAGAAGCTCTGGGACTTACCTCCATTGAAGATCAGGAGTGCGAGGGAGAAATGGAAGAGAAATGTGTAGAAATGTCAAGTTTTGACTCTAAAAACAAATCATGCAACATGCACACACCACTAGCACCACTAGTATTTCAAGTTATGCCTCAAATTTTGACCCGTTTAAAACACTGACCATCCCTTCGCCTCGCTGCGGATCGATTCCCCGGTGAGATGTAGGAGCAAGGGTTTCCTGTAAGACGGGGAAAGGAAAAAACATCAAATTTGGGATTTTCCGACCATATACTTGCAAGGGGTCACTGCTTGTGAAATTGAAACTGATTTTGCTAAAACTGATCCTTTCCAGGTTGCTATTTTGTATGTGTGCGTGTATATATATATATATTTATATATATATGGGGATATCAGTGGTACACGTATAGACCTTTAAAAGTATATAGCGCGAGAGAGAGAGAGAAAGAAAGAATGAAAGAAGGAAAGAATGAAAGAATGAAAGATTGAATGACTGAATGAATGAAGGAATGAAAGAAAGAAAGAAAGAAAGGGATTTTATATATAATTCATATATAATATACATAATCTGAGGAAGTTTAGAAGTCAAACTTCCGACAATATGGACAGATGGAAAACCAGAGGTGGGAAGAGTTAGAGAAGAGAAGAGAAGAGAAGAGAAGAAATATCGGAGAAGAGACAGAGAGAGTCAGAAGAAAGAAGATGCAGGTGCGCGAAAAGGTAGAAAAGTCGCGAAACACTGCGTTTTTCCAATGATTTGTGGCTCCAGAGGTCGAAAAGTAGGCTCGCTAAAGCGGCGGGTGCGGAGCCATCTGGCCGGATGAGAGATCATATCGAAGTCACAATGTACAAAACACACCAACGTCGGACCACTTTTGGAAGTTGAGATGTCGAAAAAGTGCACGCCGTTGTGGCGCGAAGCACATTTCGAAGTCAAAAGTGTAAAAATCTGGCGGGGTCGGAGCGCTTTCGGACGTTGAGATGTTGAAAAAGTGCACGTGGTTGTGTCGCGAAGCACATTCCCAAGTCAAAATGTTAAAAACACTACATGCTCGGACCATTTTTGAACGTTCAGGTGTGGTTTTGCGTTGCCGGCGCGCGGGATTTTGCATGTGCTCAAAAGTCAGCAAAACGTATGGGCTTTGTAGCATTTCCAAAAACGATGGCAGGCGTGGGACATTTGCAGGGGGATCTGGAAAGATGCATTTTGCATGGCAGGCGCCGTACAAGAGACATGTCCATCAGAGATGCTACGAGGTCAGGGCGCTGATTTCCTGAGAGGGGTTGCATTTTGGAGCATCAGATCTTCAGGTTTGCTAAGATGATTTTGGCAGGCACAGCAACATAGACAGATGGAGTGGAAAAATTGCAAAACGCATTGGTACGAGGCCGTCAGCTCTGCACTCACCTTTCCATTTTTGGCGGAGGTCTCGCGGAATTGCTTCGTTTTTGGTGTTGTGGTAGATAAGATAAGATTAGATTAGATTAGATTCGATTCGATTCGATTGGATTGGATTGGATTAGATAGATAAGATAAGATAAGATCAGATCAGATCAGATAAGATAACATAAGATAAGACAGCGTAAGATAAGATAAGATCAGGTCAGATAAGAAAAGAAAAGACCAGATAAGATAAAATAGATAGATAGGTAGATAGATAGATAGGTAGATAGGTAGATTAGATAAGATTAGGTTAGACTCGACTCGACTAGACTAGACAAGACACATAGATAGATAGATTACATCTACAACTACAACTACAGCTACAACTACACTACACTAATTGCATTACACCACGCTACACTACACAACACACTACACTACGCTACGCTACACTACGCTACACTACACTAATTGCATTACACTACACTACACTACGCTACACCACACTACACTCAATTACACTACACTACACTACCCTACCCCACATTGCATTACATTACATTACACTACACTCATTACACCACCACAAATGCAACTGCAACCACACTACACCAATTACACTACACAACAACTACAACTCCACTACACTACAACTACAACTACACCACACTACATCCAGAAATTGTGGGTGAGGTGACCGACCAGGTGACCACTGCAACCATTGCAACCACTCCAAAAAGCACAACTCCAACCACCTTTTGGTCCATCAGTGGATTCGCTCTGCCATCCGTCCATCACAACAACTCACCTCTCCTATAGTGTCCTATCCTTGAAACTTCCGCCACCGCCTTGTGCGGTACTACTGGTAACAGAGATTTACATATCTACATAAAACATTTACACATACACATACATAATCTGCATAATATACATAATATACATATACATCCATCAACTGCCAGTGGCTTAAGCCTGACTGCGACAAAGCGGCAAGGCCATGATCACCTGGCTGAGTTTATCAGATGCTGATCATCGCTGAAAAATGAAAAAAATGCAGCAGAAAAGTGCAGTGATTCTGATGGACTCCTCTAATGGATTATGATAATCCCCTGGTATAACATCTTAATCCATTAGATTCATAACCCATGATTAATCCCTGTTCTTAACCCATCTTAATCCATGATTTCATCAAGCAGGGTTTTGAACATCCGACCGTGGAGATCAAAAAGATCATCACGTCCAGTTGCGCCATGGCAACGGCAGCGATTCACCGTGGTGGTGAAACTCCGAGGTCCGAAAAACTTGGGGATTGCACCATGAAAAAATGGGGATGTGACCACTAAAAATTGGGACTTCACTCATTTTAAAATGTAGGTTGATCAATGGTTGATCCCCCTTCGTATCTGGTGAATGACTTCATCACCATGTAAAAGTCAGGTTTTTGGGTGGGATAAGCCCACATTTCTGGGGACGAAAATGTTCTAGGCAACTCTTTATTCACCACTGCTCAGTGGGATGATCCCATCAGGGTTAACCGGGTTAACCGACCTGGCCATGACTTGGGCAAAAAGAGAAGGTTCGCCATTACTAAGCAGAAAAAGTATGAAACCGTGATGTTTCACCCCACTAGTCGTAGATCATTTTCCAAACTGGGTCTGGCACCCTGTCGTTGGCTTGGAGCCACCAATGTCCGGGCGAAAGTTGATCTTCAACTCCACCCTCCGGGGCGGTGTCATAACGCCAAATACAATAAATAGATTCAAATAGATAAGTAAATTAATTCACTAATTTATAAGACAAATGGAATTTTGAATTTGGATGAATTTGGGGTATACAAGTTGATGATTTAAATAGTGACGGCAATTTCCATCGAAAAGCCCAGATTCGACGCTAGATTTTCACCCCAATCAATCTTGGCCCAGTCACCCCCCTTCAGAATATCTAGTGGGTCGGTCAAAATTCAAGCTATCTCTCAGTTTTTAGTGGTTAAAATCCATGATCTAACCATTATGAATGATCTAATATCCACTATTATTGAGCATCATCCACTGGGGTTTCCAATTTTCACCCAAAACCCAAAGGATCAGAAGCGGCTCGCCGTCCTCATAAGGCTTCGGGGGCTCGGCGCGGCGACCGGAGCTTTCACTCCTCGGATCTGATTCAATGTGTCGCACAAAGTGGGGGGGGATAACCAACAGAAATGGGGACATCAAGTGGGAGAACTTGTTTTGAATGGGTAGCTGAACTAAAACCAGACAAACCCCAGATGGGAAGGTCCCAACTCTCTGCACTTGGCCGGCTCACCTCTGGGTTGCTGTCCTATCTGGTCCATAAAAGTGAAAGGAGTTGGATGATCACAAGCAAAATGACTGAAATCTGCCAGGTTGAAGGTCTAAATATGTCTAAATGTTTGATCCCTACGCCCTAGACATATCCAAAATATCAAACCCTGCCACATGTCTGCCACCACAGTGCCATGCAGGAGGATCCCATAGACGAAGCCGTTTCGAGGTAAACCTGGCGATGGATTCATCGGCACTGATGGGATCATTGAATCTCGGGTGTGTGTTGTCGAATGGAGTTTAGGGGCAGCTTGGAGATGTGGGAAAAATGGCCAGGAGTTGCAGGGCCTAGGCCTAACCTAGACTTAGCCGCTAGCCCCAAATGATGATCGCTTCATCCGAAAATATGCTACCGGCCAGGGATGGGAAGTCGTGCGCTTTTGTGGTTTCAACCCATCCCAAAAATATGACCCGCATCAGAGTGAACCATCCCAGATCATCTCAGGTTGCAGTACAAAAGCGCTGCCAACCAATTTTGGAAGGACCATCACCATACAAGTTTGCCCAAAGTTCATGTGGGAAAAGATTATCAACCATGATATTTGGGAGTAATGTCAACCCCCCATTAGTAAATCCTGGTTGATTAATTGGGGGTAAACACCAAATAGTGAGAATCTGCTACTAAAATAGGCTATTACTATATATATATATCAAACGAGTCCATCTCACCCTCAAATCTAGGCATAACAATGCGACCTCATCACCCGCCAAGTCTTGTGACGCCTGCCAAGCACTAGTCGACGCTCGTTCTCGTAGCGCTCCTGCGCTGTCACGAGGAAAATGTCTGCCACTTCGAACGCTTCCCACAAAAAAAACGGGAATTCAGGTTGGTTTCGGTTTGAGTTTTGGGTTCGTTTTCATGAAAAGTGTACCCTCTGGTAATCTAACATGGCCATGATTACGTCCGATTTCTTCAATGAAAAAAAAGGTCCCCAGTTGCTGGGAGCACCTTGACCTCCGTATCATCTGCTTCGGAGGCCCCTTTGCTCTGGGCTGGGTTCAGACCTGCCAGCGTCTTGGCTGGGCCGGTAGCAAAACTTTGGATATTCTACAGATTTCTCCATTTTGCCAAACCACACGCTGTGAGTAGGGGCCCAAACAGAGAAGATGATCCGTTGTATTTCGTTGTCCTTGTCTTATCCTTTTTTCGTGCTCGGAAACTTTGCTAGCCCTGTCTCAAGATAAAGACGACAAAAGCAAACTGAACAACTCGACAAAACAGCCTGAAAAACGTCGCACTTCCCCTGCCCTGGTGGACCTGACAACATCCGAACGCTTTGGGGCTGGTCCTGCAATGAGATGCTAAGGGCAGAAAAATTGGGGAAACTGCTGGAGGGCCAATGGTTAGACCCCAATGATGAAAAGTGTCGAAAGGCACACACCACTTTTCAACACCCGACTGCACCAAGCAGACTCTGACCTTCAGCCATGCTGCAACAGCATGGAGATCCCTAGAGTCAGCTAGTGAGTTAGTTGAGGTATCTCTCAGCACAGTTTGTTGGGTGATATAATCCACGAACTAACCACTGGAAGTCCCCTTTCCACATGAGTGTCCACGGCTACATTGTCACGAGTGTGCAGTGAACAAAAAGCTATTTGGGTTAGTGACAATGGCATGGTCCATGGTCCATGGTCTCAATAGTCTGGAATCGTGAAAGAATGGCATCAAAAAAAACATCAACCTTGTCACTCCCAACTGCTGGCCCATGACCATCATTTATCATCCCGGCCATGGATGAACCCCCGAGGGATTGAACAGCTCCTGGTGGTTGGCAAGCTGCCTGCTGTGAATCAAAGTATATTCAAGTATCCTCGTAGAACGAGTTCTTACCTCCTGAGTCTTAACATGTCTTAACCATAATCTGCGGGTGATCTCGTCACTTTCGAAGGTTGATATCCGCAGTTTTGCTGCTTCAAGTGCCCATTTTCGAGGATTAAAAAACCCATGTTTCACCATGAACCAAAGATATCCAAGCATCACAAACCTGTGTAACCTTATATCAATGGATTGGTTTAAGGGAAAATCTTAACCGGAAACCATAGATTTTCCCATTAAGATCATTGCGTTTTCCTATAAATTTTCCCTTAAACCAATCCATTGATTATATTTTTGACCTCAAAATTGCCATCTTAGGAGCTGTGGTGACCCCCCCTTTCTGAACCGCATCGGGGTTACCTGAAGCTCGGAGAGCTCGGCCAAGTCGTCCGCCCGAGCCGCTGGGTGGTACCTGGGCGCCATGAAGTTCTTGATATTAGTAACCGCAATTTACTAAGGTGTGTATATATATATATATACATACACACTATGATTTAATTGATTATTTTTAACTAACTACTTAGTTAGCTAATTAACTAATTAATTAATGAATCAATAATTTGTGTATATATATATATACTAGGAATTAGCACTAATATAATAGTGATAATATTACGAATACCACTAATATCAACCACTAATATGATCATAATATTAGTAAAATATTAGTAATATCATGATATCAATAACGATATTGATATCATGATAAAGATTATGAGTAATATTGATAGTTACTACTGGTAACTGTGAAACACTGCAAATAATGGGATTATGACGGGATAAACCACCTACCAACTGGTGCAGGATTTCTTCCATCCGCAGTATTGTTGTAATTGTCGATCAATAGATGATTAGTAATATTAGTAATTGACAAAAAAAATCTCTAGTGATCACTAGTATATAAAGTGATAAGGTCCTTATCATTGTTGATAACGATGATTAGTAATATTAGTCGGAGCCATGATCATTAGATAATTATTGATGATGTTCCTAATGATTGGGGATAGGATTAATCACATGTTTCCGCTTCAAAGCGGGATGGGATATCCTATCATCTTTATGATTGTGATGATTGTATTGTATTAGTAATGATTTGTTGATTTGCAAATGATTAGCCATATTTTGAGTTATTTTGATATGCTTACTGAAATGATTGTAATGATTGTGATCATTGCCCCTCGGTAATCAAACGTGGCAATTGGGAAAACTCATCTATAAATGGTGGGATTTTCCATAAATTCCTAGGGAGTATTCGTACTCTCATGATGACACTGCAATATCTGATTAGCTTGTTGTTATGATTTCAAGGCTACACTTCTCAATTGTATCCATAGTTCTATGTTTCTATTGGCTACTTTAGATCTTCCCAATCTTTGGCACTCGGCACTACCCCCAACAAAATCTCATCCACGTCACCAGAAGATGACCCCCAAGAGGATGAGCACCGCAACAGGCAGGGTGTATTCATGGAAGAAACCGATGAGAACCTCAGTTTGGTATGGCTTTGGTATGGCCTTTGCTTGGGAATTTGTTCACCGGAAAACGCCGGAAATACCGGAGTTTCCGGCTGCTGTGGTGTTACCTCCAAAAAACTGGGGTGATTTCCAATGGTTTCGGGTCGAAAAACAGAAAAACCCAGGTCCGATTCGGTGATTTGCACATTCCCCGGTTTTTCTGCTGCGAGCTGCCTGTCCATCATCGTCATCAACGGAATGACGATACAACTGAGCGATTTTTGAAATGGCTATGGATCAAAACCAATCCCCTGCAGTGAACCTCGAACATGCTGGTTCTGGATGTTTATTCCGCCATTCAATATGGAATAATAGATGTTGACCTATTCCCCACGTGGAATAAAAGCTGCAATTGAGATCATGAGCATAAACCAACTTAGAGTGCCAAACACCAGTCTGTCCTTTCTTCCTCAGAGAAACTGTGAGTGCCAGCAAGCAAAAGACTGTGAGAAGCGGCGCATCCCACTGCACGATGCGCTTGTATTCCAGAGAGAGACCTCTTGACACGTCGCAATGGTACATGAAGCGGCTCGAGAAAACCTGCCCGCGCGCGATAGATGTGCCATGTTCACCGTGAAAAGATTCAGCTTAATTCGGGAGATCATGAGCACCAGGATGTTTCCAACATCCACCAAAATGTCTCCCCTCGGGTTTGTCTGCAAATTGGATATCTGCCGGATCCCAAATCCACTGACTCATGGTGGGCTATACCCTATTTTCGGACACACCCAAATTAGATATAGTTGCATGTAAATATGTGTATCATATATATAATATATACATGTGTATATATATATATATATTATTATACTATGTATATATATATATATACATGATAAATTTCCCCAGTAATATCCCATTCAATCCCCATTGTTTATTGTGTTTAACACCATGTTTGCTGGTCAATCCTCCATTTCAAAAAAAAAAACAGAGCCTCGAACTGCTGCATGAAGGCTTCCAACTCCTGCAGATACAGATACAAACATACATACATTGCATTTCCATTCTGGATATGGCATATGTTATGGCTAACATTATTGTTTTATACCTATATAATATGGATATTATCTATATTATCCATTGTACATGATCTTACATTACATTAAATCGACACCACATTGCATTGCATTTCACGTATACGTATGTCTGTCTGGCAGGCAGGCAGGTAGGCATGTATGTATGTATGTATGTATGTATGTATGTATGTATGTATGTATGTATGTATGTATGTATGTATGTATGCATATATATATATATAATAGTTATACACACATAGATACATAAACATATATAAATATGACATGTCTAATCATATTCATAAACAATGATGTATCCTATATACTATGTTACTATATATGTCCATTATGATACAATCATATATGATAATGAGTATCCTATCTATTTCATTATGCTTGTAAGAATGATTATACTACCTGATGATGTATTATGATTCATGTCATATTGAACGACGTTTCCCAGCAACAAAATCATGATAATACATCCAATATGATGAGTGTTCTATCATCAATGATGATAATATATGATGATGCTAATGTCTAATGATAATATATCATAGTCCTATTCGGAGCTTTCCTAAGTCATGTGAGTAGCCCCAAATCATCCAGTCGTCAGACCATGACTTCGTATTGAAACAACCTGCAGGTGACGACTGGGGATCCCCCATGACTTACCCTCTGGTAATTTCACATAGATATTGAAAATGACCCATTTAGAGTTGACTTACCTATTAAAGATGGTGATGTTTCAGTATGTTTACCAGAGGGTATCAAGCCACAGCCCCATGTACCGCTCCTTGATCTGCTCTCGGATGCTTTTGTCCGTCCCCACCGTCTGCCAGGCTGCCAGGGGCGGCCTAGTGGGTCGTGGCAACAGCAGCGCGGAGATGCTTTGGTCGAAGCTTAACCAGGCCTTCCTGAGGGCGACCATCAAAAATGGTGAAAAAAGATGGTGAAAATGATGGTTTTTCATGGGATTTAAGCAAGAACAATGGGAATTTACCATGGGAATATAACGATTATAACGGAAATATTATATTATATAATGGGATTATAGTAATAATGGTGTTTGATCTATATGACACAATGGGAATGTCAGGGACATAGTGGGAATATCATTGTCAATGTATATATATATATGTCAATATAACAAACATATAAAATCGGGTTTTTTTATATGGCAATTCATCCAGATACAATGAGGTTTCATATTAGGGGGATGGGATTCTATTGAAATAATCGGCCATTTGGAGATGATTCCCCGGTGATCATCCTCGGTCATGGGGAGGATTCTTTTGGATGACTCAAAAATTGCTGGAAAATCTTTAGGAAAACAGGAAACTGTTGGTTTTGCCAAGCAGGAAACTCTTGGTTTTGCCATTCAAACCTGGGCCTCTATTTTTTCCCAATTCTGGCAGAGCCTGTTTGCCTTGGAACCTGTGAACAAAATATGAGTTGGGATCATCATTCGAAAAGGAAAATATCTGCAACGGCCAACCAGAACAATTATGGGTCGTATTCTGCACCCATCTACAAGTTTATTTTGCAAGGATAAATCCATGAGATGTAGCATGTTCCAAGTTGAATGAATCTATTGGTCTAGAGATTTTGTTCAATGTGTAAAAGACTATTTTTAGGAGGATGTCCAAGGTTATCCAAGCAGTAAACTAAATCGTTGCCATGGATAATTGCCCATTTGTAGCTGATTTAATTACATATAAAAAGTCGTTGATTGTCCATAGCAAACTTGTAATTTAAACAGAAGGTATGAGTATGGGTCCAAGGGTCCAAACACATGGAATCCCCTCTTTTTCACACCAAGCAGCTGGCGCAAAGGGACCCTCAAAATCCCCAAAATGTTCATTTAAGCAATGTAAATATACCAAAATCGCAGGTTTATCCGGTTCCCCGAATCTCAGCTTGATTCGACTTTTGTCTGGACTTCCACGACTGCCGAGTTTCAGGTATCCCACGGCGCAGCTCTCGCCCTTGGGTCTGTACACATCCTTCAGCAAGAGCTGCATCTCCCGCTGCCCCTTACGCCCCACCGCATAGAGCGGCACATCCACGCGGCCACGCAGGGTGCCACGGTTCCGATAATCCGTGGTCCAAACTTGGAACTGGATCAAGGAATCTGGGTCCTTAGCATTTCGTTTTTCGGCCCCGAAACTTCTGAACCACCCAAACACTGGATATGGTTGTACACCAAAAAAAACAACCGAAGGTTTGGTGGTTTTGTATTGTATGAGCCCATGTTTGAGGGGGAAAAGAAGGTGAAGTTTGGCATGGGCCTTTTGTTTCAAGGGGTCCTCTTGCTTCGGAATTCAATAGGTGGAAATTCCCTAGGAAATGCGTCAGAACATCACAGTTTGCCCCTCCCCGCTTGCACTAAAGAGACTTTCTCGAAAAAGAAAATAACATACCGTCAATCATTTGGTTTGCTCCAAAATTATCCATCAATTTTCAAAAGGGCCATCGATCGAAACCCGATCAGTACCCTGCAGTTCATAGACATCAAAATAGCTGGTAGTTGTGGCCATTTCTTGCCCATTCACATGAACAAAGCTAGGTTGTGTCCAACTGGAAAATTATCTATATCTTTTTCGGGGCGTTGTTCAAAATCGTTGGAAAGCAATATCCGAATCCAAAACCGTTGAGCTTTGGGGTGCAAGAATTTCTAGAGAACCCCCATACCCTAAAACTCCCATAATTTCTCCTCATTTTCCCTGATGTTCTCAAGGTTCTCCAAATTCTCTCCATAAAATGTCACACTTTCTAGCCTTCCTCGCAAAACGTCCAGGTCTCATCGTTGCTGATGGCCAGTTCGAAGACGTCGCCGAAGGCCACCCGTCCCTCCCGTCCCTCAGGTGTCTCCTGGCTCTTCTGCGGCTTTCTGGCCACGGTGCGGCAGGTGAGGTCGTTGCAACTGACCACGCAGAAGCAGGCCCCCGCTTGGAGCGGCAGCGGTGACAGCGCCGCTAAACGCTTGGAGTCCTTCGGTCCGCAGGGGCGGGGGTCCCGGGGTTAGGGAAGGTTTGGGGACCGAGATGGCAAAGTTTGTGGTGTGTGATCAAGTTGGAGATCTATGGCTGTTCTGGAACGAAAGGAAATGGAAGCATTGTGTCTGGATACCTATATGTTTTAGAGAGTGTACAGACATCAGTCTGTTGATGGGTGTAATAAACTTTGGCACCCTAACGGCAGCGAAAGTCACAATGCTGACCTTCAGGTTCGCAGAATTTCAAGAGACAAGTAGAAATTGGCTACTGGTATGGCTCAAAATGGATGACCTTTCGAACTGCAAGAGTTACTTGCAGAATCGGGATACACCCCAAAATGACAAGAAACACATCCAATCGGGAAAATGAGGAGTATCAGATAGTCCTTTGGATGACCTTTGGATATCCATGGATCTCCATGGGCTATTCAGGAGTACCATCTAAATAACCATGGATTTTTTGGGTCCTGTCCTGAGTGAGTGTGCCCTCCACAAGCGTAATATGTAAGACACCTGGCAGAGGGCATGAAACAAGCTGTGATTCACGGCACTGAAAAAATGAAACGGGTCAACGGGTCTTTACGTATCTGAAGATATGTTGTTTTCTCGGCGCACAAACACATGTGAACACATAAACAAATACTGTATCTATAGGTGTACATACATGTGTATATATATATACGGGAATTGAAATAGATTGCACAAAAGAACGGGGATTTCACCAACAACCACAAGGGATACACCCATGGAGTGGCAATCCTTGAGTGTCGCAGCAGCTCGGTCCTAAGTTTGATCTTTCCAATAGCTTCCTGAGGTGCTTGATGTTACCAAACACCTGTGTTTGGTCTTTGCTTGATAAATTCGGAATATCTATACATATTATACATGTGTATATTATAATATTATATATATATATTATTATGTATATATATATCATTACATACTTGTTACGGCCACCAACTCCCGTAATCGAGAGACCACCATCTTATAGTTGGTTGCCGAACAACGCTGTAGCAAGTCGGTAGACTCTGAAGCATTTGCTGTGTGTCAAAGAATGGGGATACAGCAATTTTGTTCGCCTTGGCTCAAATAGACAAACATGTTGATCTAATTGCGGAGTCCTCAAGTTTCGCACATGGCCACTTGCAACATGGTCATTTCAATCGTATGGACCAATGGATGCCCATTCGCAACCATGGGGCCAACAGCCAATGTCATATTGTCAATGGCTCAACTATTCATATAGTCCCATGGTTGTTGGTCAATGACCCCTAGTATTGTTGGTTAACACCCCCTATCATGTTGGTTCGCAATCCACAATTCCGCCAGATGTTGCCCCAACAGGATTTCCGCTATGATGTGATTAGGGAAACTCAATTCGTGGATCCTCGGCTCCCATTTTTTCTCGGGAATATGGATACCATCATAGCTCCTTAGCTCCCGTTCACCACCAAATAGACTCCAGGGCTGCGGCTGTGCAAAGGCAACCAACTTTTCTTCAAGCTGAAGCAATGTTGCATGCAACATCTGTGCTAAGGCATTTAGCAGAGGCCCTTTGCAACCATGCCCAGTCTCAAAGCCATATTCCGCGTCGGCCAGCACCTTGACGCAAAAACGATGGCTTTGGGTTCAAGAAATCTATAGAAATCTCATAAGATATTCATGGACAAGAAAAAGGAAAACAGACTTCCATAATCTTCCATATATATCCGAGGAACGCATTTATCTACTAAAACTGCAGCATCTTTGTAGTGACTTTGCACCTCTCGCCACATCTCTTTCATCAATTGACGCTGATTTGGAATGCCACCCTGCGCGCAACCACATGCAGAGAGCCACAGAACTAGGCGATTCGGAAAAGCGACGGCATGCACCCAGTGTACATAATAATGAATCTCCTCCTCCACCGTCAAGCTGGGCAACTGCAACTCCCCTTCCCCAGTAGGCTGGCGCGTACCCCTTGGACCCCATGCAGTACCCAACTCCACGATTGCAATGTCAGCAGAACGCATCTTCGCCTCTTCCAGACGTTTCAAAAAGAGTTCGTCCGCCCTGGGTGAGTGCAGCACAGTCTTGAAACCAATGGCCAGCTGCATCTGAGCGTTCAAGCGAAAACCTGGTGGCCCACATAAGTTCAGGTCAATGCCCTCCAACCCCATCCAGCTCTGACATTTCTGTTGCCAAAGCGAATTCCCAAAGTGACACGCGCTCATGCTGCCCAAGCTTTGCGAATACTGCAGCGGCAGGCACTTCGCCCCGTCCCGGGCCGGATACTTGGCATCCATGGCGTGCCAGCCTTCTGGGGACAGGCGGCAGAGCGGGGGGTAGACGTTTCGCAGAGGCCCCGGAGGCATTGCGCAGTCCAGACGCGTCAGGATGCCATGCTGCAGCCGCTCCAATTCCAGGTACAATTCCCTCAGGAAGGAGCTGCCATACCACGCAGTGGGCACCAGCTGGGAGGCATTCCACTGGAGACTTTTCAAGGAGGCATTCCTTGGATAAAGAACAAATGATTCCGAGTTTGCTTTTTTGAAAAAAAAAACATGAATCATCAGGGGAATAGCCTAGACAAATTATATGTGCCTATTATTTAGAAAACAAATGCTCAACAAATAGAGCACTGCCAAGATTCCACTGCCTCATCTTGGCATCCTTCCAAATCCAGTCTCCAGACACCTGAACCCATCTGCCTTGTGGGTGCAATATGGGCTCCAAGAAGCTTTGCAGCCGAGCAGACAGGTGTCCCAACTCTGTGGGCATCCCAACCCCTGATCTCCCCATTGTTGAGCCAGCCACATGACCTGCAACTGTCGTCGCCCAAGTGGTAGATATGCCAGGTGCATCTTTGGTGATTCCCTCAGTTTTTGAGGTGCTGCTGGTGCTGATGGTGGTAATTTCCACCTCCAGGAACTGCCTGGTCTCGTTCCACCTGCGCCAGGCCCCGGCGGCCCCGGAGCCTGTGCTCCGACTGTCGTTCCAGCGCTGCTCCGCCGCGGCACGCCAGGCAGCGTGCCAGGCACTGGGGGATAGGCCACGGTGCACGCCATAGGCGACCAGGAAAGCCAGGCAAATCAGCAGCAGCTCAGGGCGACGGCTGAGTGCCATGGAGCCATGGGACTATAAGGGCCATAGCTTCCGAAGATCGCTAGAGTTGTTCTTGGCTGATTTGTTCAGGGGCATCTGCTGTAGAGTACCGAAATTCTTTTGCATGTCATCATGTGATATTCTAAGCTTCCTTTTTCAACAAATTGAACGGACATACCAGTAGGTCAGTTCACCCCGAGGTGCCAATGATTTCGGCCACATAGACTAGAGTCAGCCAGTCTTGGGACGTTCATGGTCAGCTCCATTTACATTTAGATAGCATTTCGATGGATTTATAGTTCAAAAATATGTTATTATCATTTTATTGCTGCCTTTTAGCTCAGAGATGGTTGGAGTATTTTTTTGGCTGCGCCAGGCTCAAAGATTCCTATTGCTGCCCCTGAGCGACCTGGTTGTTCACTATATTAGGGATATCAAACCAAATTTTGGATGCCCCAAAATTCCCTAGGGTTGTTGTCCGATTGTATGGGCAAAACCAGTGTTTTGTTGGGGGCGCACCCACTTGAGACCCACATGAGCTCGTGTCTAAACTTTGCGTAGGTGTAACGGAGTTCATGATTTCATGTATATAGTATATATCCTGCTCAAACACTTCCTGCCAATCTCTACAACCCGTTGACTCGTTGACCAAAGTCTTGAGATCACAGCTGACACAAAGTTTGACGCACTGCATGAGGATCTGACTCAAAAACGCTCGTCCCGGCGGACTTTCCAAACTTATTCTCTTTTGGACCACAACCGTAGTCCACTGGGTCAACGACCCTTCACAAACCACAATGATGACGAGATGCAGATTCGAGATGATCATGTCAAACAGAACAACATGAAAACCGAACCCCACGAATCCTCGCATCAGCAGCTTCCGTGACCACTACCATTTTTTTCGGCTGTTGGTTGGTACCCGCATCCCCCATCGCGGCTCCCCTGGAGGGACTCTTAGTTGGCCATTTTTTCCCTGCGATCACAGCAGTTTCACTGGTCTAATTCCGCTGGAGGCCATGGCGGCCGGGCTTGGTGCTGAGCTCAGCATACGCCAGAAGTATCTTGAAGTTGCCGGACCTCAAAAATCTCAAAATGCGAAGTAAAATTCATGTCAATTCCTGATTCATGGGCCCCCAATTTTGGAGGACATAGCGATGGTAAATGTTTTGGTCCTAAAATGGTGCTCAAAATCCCAAAGTCAGATCTCTCACAGCAGGACGATGATCGTCCTAAGGGAGTCCTTGCGAATACTTTTTTTTCGACATCCCTGAAGTGACTAAGTCATACTAAGTCAACAAATGGCATCCAATAAAATCTCCTATGTTTTGTGTGTAACCAAGTTGACCATTTAAGACTTTAGGGGGAGCTTCCCAGGATTCACACACTGGAGCTGCAGCCTTAAGGTCCGCCAAAAGGGGCTGGTTTGTCGTCCAAAAGTCCTGACAAACCACAAGCTCTTTGGGGCGGATCGTCCCAAGATTCACATCGTGACCGGAAAAACCAACTCCAAGTGGAAACCAACCATCCACTGCACGAGGATGTAAAATCAGTAAAAATCAGTCCTACAGATATCCATGAGAATGACGAAACTACTCAGGCCGGAAGCAACAGTTGATTGATGTTGACTGGGGATATCTTGCGCCCAATTTCGAATGGGTAGCCCATCATCGCAGCGCCTCTCATGTAGCCGGCGCTGCCATCTTTGTGATGGCTGACGACCTTTGTGCCTTCCCCAATTGATGGGTAAATGAAACCCTCTAAGTGGATTGATGACCAGTTTTTTGTGACCAGGTTTCAGATCTATCCTGAAAAAAGTTTCACAGGAGTCACAGGAGAGGCTCTAATCCGCCCGCAAGGTGCACAACTATTCTGATCCGCGCAGAGGTTCATGCCATGCTGTCTCTCCTTTACTTCACAAGAACACTGCATCTGTACACATGCTGCGCCAACGATGCGCGGACACAAATCAAAGCACCCCTTTACAAAACTTTACAAGTGGCACGGCTCGCCGGTGCTTTGTGCTCCTCCTGCATAGGACGTGATGCCGCTTGAGGGAAGAGTTTCATGTCAAAATGTTCACCAAAATCAGCAAGGAAAAACAGGTTCGATACCAAAATGTAACCCAATAAAAAACGTGCTCCGCGGCCAAAAAAGATTAAAATTTGCCCTCCTGGACTAGACGTCCACGTCCACAGAGCTGGTACACTCAGAAGGTTTGCCTACCTCATCCACCTCAACCACTGGCGCCGTCATCATGGCCATGCTCAGCCATGGCCCCAGGGTGAAGTATAGACTCTTCCAAAGGAGAGAAGGCTGCCAGAGTGACAAGTTGTGAGTGACATCCCTGAAGGTCAAGGCGTTCCAGACCCCTTCCGCGAAGCTGTTCGGCACGAAACTTTGTAGCTGCTGAGTTTGGTGATCCTTCCAGTAGGACGGAACATCCACGGCTGCCATGTAGGGCACATAGCCAATGCAGAAAAGCGTCATCACCAAACCAAAGTCTTTCCCATCGAATGCGCCCCTCTCCTCGCCACCCTTCGGCGCCTCCTTGACCCTGCGCCTGCGAAGCTTGCCATCCGCGATCAGCAAATGTATGTAGACTGGAAGGCCCATGGCAAAGCTGACGGCCCAGCAAGTCTCCTCCCATGCAAACCAGCAGAAACTCTGCGTTATGGTTCCGGTGAATGAGAAGCACTCCGCTGTCACAATGACGAGGCCCATACACGTAGAAGTGCAGAGAACTGGGATTCTTGCCCAAGGGGCAGCACAGAAGGTCTGGATGAGAATGATCTGCAGCATCCATGCCACCTCCTCTACAGCGGCAAGAGACCTGTGGATCAGAATGCTGCTCAACATGCTGTCCCAGAAGACATATCGGTGAGGATAATCCGCTGGAAAGCTGCTACGATAGGCAACCACCAGAACATACACAGTGCCGAGGAAACGCAAACTGTGCCAGTACCAGGCAGGTTGCGATTTCGAGCGCTGTCCGCTGCACAACAAGTAACATATGATTCCTTGGAGCGAACGACGTGACCTCGACAAATCCGTTTTCAAATCCTCCCAGTAGATTCCCCTCAATGGTGGATTAACCATTGCGTTGTGTTTTTGCAACTACCCTCTAGTAATTTAACATAGCGATTGAAAACAAAAACAGTTTCAACCGGTTCAACATCCAAGAGTCCCAGGTTCAACAGCGCCACTGTGCAAAGGAAGGAGTACCATTCAATCGCCCAAGCTGGCCAAGTCGCCATGGTGATTTTGATTGCAGCTAATTAGTTTTAGCCGTTTAGCCTGTTGATTGTAGCATTCTATCATATTAATCATATTCTATTGCTATATCAAGGCTACATCCTGTCATCCGACTGTCATTGTCTTTTCGTTCCGAATTCCATCCCTATCTTTTTTTGGCGACGAGATGGGATAATCCCGACTTCTCTTGGGGATGGGAATGGCCATCAAGCCATCAAATACCATCAGTAGGTCACTAGATGTGGAGATGCAAGGAAAAAAAGCTTGGATCTTCTGGAAATTTCTGGATACTCTCATGTGATGCTACTAAAAACTGCCTCCACCTGTTTTTTCAGAGCATTGCTGCCCTTCGCAAAAGGCATTTGCTGCAGCGTTTCCCCAGTCCTGTTGACGGTGTCGCAGGGCGCCGAGCAAAACCATGAGCTAAACCTTAGTGGATGCGAAGGTGTGGCTTCAGCCATGAGAAAAGGAACCGAAACTCGCATCCCAACTAAAAGCTCACCCAGATATGTAAGTAATAATGAGATATGGCTTGACCCATGAGATATACCGATATACCTATAGATAATTTCGATTGATATTTATAAGGGATAACAATGTAATAGTAATATCCCCATTTACTGGCGACAATAAATAATGGGAATGTAACTAGTTTCCAGTTCTACTGAGTGTAACCAGTGTAACCCCCAATCTCAACCCATCGTTGCTGGCCAGAAACCCCAGACTCAGAGCTCTCTGAAGTCCGTCTCACGGTGCCATGGCTCGTTTTTTGTTCGGAAACGCTGCGGACGGACATGGTACGACAGGCTGCCTGGATCATCCCAGTTCCAAACCTGGATGGTAAATCCACTTTTTTCGGTGCTTACTAAGCCCATGAATCCAACTTTTTCTGGGAGAACATCAGGACCCACTCCACCTGCTACTGGATCTTTGGGCTTGTATGCCGATGCAATGGAAATGGCCGCCATCCAGAGGTCTCTTTGGTCCCCTGAAGCACTGCAAGGGTTGCTGTAAAGCTGCGAGGTTGGCTGGCTACATCCATATGCTATCAAGAAATAAAGGCCAAATAGTTGGTCAGTTGGTCCTTTTTGCATCCTTTTGCATCCTTTTACTACATTTTTGGCTGTTTAACCCCTTCCATCCTAATATTAAAGACCCCCTATAATAAACCATGGTTTACCTGTCGATTTCCACATCATTGGGACCATGCAATGGGGGGTGCTTAATATTATATAGGGGGATCGGATCAACTGCTGAACTCAACGCCTTCGGTGGTGGCGAAATCGATGGGATCTGCCGCCAAACTCTGCGGCAACGGCAGAATGCGAAAGCCATAGTAGTCGTCCAGCGGAAAACATTCCACCGCCACGCCCTGTAAAGGAAGACTCCTGGAGTGAGGCCATGGCCATTTTTGGATCGGAACCGGGGATGGAATGATTGACATTGGCACTGGATATAATATACATACAATATAATGGGGATGTCAAGGATATAATGAGGAAACAATGAGAATATCACCAAGGTGAATCATATCTGGATGAATTATAATGAATCATGAAGCTGAAATCTTTGGCCAATTGGGGATAATTATCCCAATCTAATTCCCATGATTCCTCTGACGTCGCAGTTGACCAACAAAGCCAAGTCCTAAATGGCACCATCGGACGAGAAAGGAATCACTGACTTCCATTAGATGACTGGTTTGAACAATCCGATCTGTAAGAAATCTTTGGGAAACACAAAAGCAGCTATGACTGATCAGCTATGGTATTGTATGATGGTAGCCAAGCTCTACTTATGGTGGTTACTAATGGCAATCGATGATGGAAATCAATTATAAGTGAAATCTTTGACCATCTGTTTTCCAGTCGCCAATCCGCGGACTCGGACGATTGGTTCGCTACACTCAGTTTCTGCCAGTTTACCCACTTCTATCAACAAAATCAGGGGAAAGCAAAAAAAAAACATTTGTCCCTCTCTTTTCAACCAACAGATAGTGGGTGTGTCTGAAAATTGTTTCACCCCCCAAGTAAAATCACTTTAATGGCGAAAATGATGATAGTCAGGACTTTGTGGGGGTTCCCTAATCATCATCATCATCATCATCATCACCATCATCATCATTCATCATCATCATCATCATCATCATCTTCATCATCATCATCATCATCTTCATCATCTTCATCTTCATCATCATCATCAGTATCATCATCATCATCATCACCATCATCATCATCGTCATCATCATCATCATCATCATCAATCATCATCATCAGTATCATCATCAGCATCATCATCATCATCATCACCATCATCATCGTCATCATCATCATCAACCCCAGGTTTATCTCCTCAACACCAACCAAAATTGCCAACACTTTACCATCATTCATGGTTTACCTGGTTTAAATCCTCATTTTTCATGGTTTCCCCAGGAAATTCCCACATTTTACAGTCCCAGGGCATCTCCTCCGGCTGCCATCGTTACGGCCCCACAGCAGCAGCGGCGCATCGCCCCCTTCGGGGCCCGCGCGGCGCACCTCCGCGGAGTGCTGTTCAAAGCCTCGGGACGTCGCGAAAAACCCATCCGGAAAAAGGAGAGATGGCGATGCGAAGACATATTTCTATACACTGTGTATTTGTAAATATATATATATATATATTATATGCATATATATATATATACATGTGTGTGTATGTTCATTCAGGTGTGTGCTACGTTTTTGGTGATGTGCTGCGGGTCAGTAGTGGTTCAGTTGGGTTCCTTTCGATTCGGATGCCTTTGTTGTTAGGAACCAAGTCTGTGAATCGCAATATCACTTCAGTTGCATCAGGCTGTAAAGGTCGAGAATAGCTCAAAAAGAAACTAGTCCCACTGCCATCCCATGTTTTTACCTTATTAGCCATTCAATAGGGCAATATCACGATTACATTCTACAAACGATGATTATTTATCATTTCAAGATTCTTAGGAAACTTAACACAAACAAACAAAAATATGTCCATCATGGATTATCCATGGATTATCAAATTCGATAATGAATATTTTATCATCATCCCATCATCCTTCCATCATCATCCCATCATAAATCATGCTATAGATATCTATAAGTATCTATAAATATGTGGTTTTCCCATCATAAATCATGCTATAATATCCCATGTTATCCCATCATCATCATCATCATCATCATCATCATCCCATTATCTTACTGGTGCTAAACGTAGGGAATGGATGGGTTGGGAATGGGGATTGCTGGGATGATGATTACTAGTGATGAAATGGATCATTCCCGAAAATTCCCTGGCAATGAATATCAACTGGTTGGTGGTTGAGCCCTACCCCTCTGAAAAATGATGGACTGAAAGTCAGTTGGGATGATGGAATTTCCCAATTATTCCCAATAGTATCCATAATCCATACCCTCTGGTAAACTAACATAACTATGGAAAATCACCATTATTAGTGGGTAAATCCACTATTTCTATGGTCATGTTCAATAGCTTTTTGTATGTTTACCAGAGAGTACTTATGGATTATGGATGATGAAATTCCCAAGATATGGAAAAATCCATTAAAATCCATTAAAATCCATTAAACCACTATAATCCCATGATTCTCAATCATCCATTATAACCCAATAGCATCCAAGGCGCGGGCGCCCTTGCGCCACCAGCCCTTCACGCGGATCAGCTGCCCCGAGATCAAGAGCTCCGAGGCTTCGGAGTCACCCAGCTGGTCCACCTCCGTGGCAAAGGCCTGGAGCGAAAAAGGGGGGAGAAAATGGGGCGAATCCAAGGGAAAATATGGGGAAAATATGGGGAAAATATGGGGAAAATATGGGGAAAATATGGGGAAAATATGGGAAAATATGGGGAAATATGGGGAAATATGGGGAAAATATGGGGAAAATATGGGGAAAATATGGGGAAAATATGCGGAAAATATGGGGAAAATATGGGGAAAATATGGGAAAATATGGGAAAATATGGGAAAATATGGGGAAAATATGAGGAAAATATGGGAAAATATGGGGAAATATGGGGAAATATGGGGAAAATATGGGGAAAATATGGGGAAAATATGGGAAAATATGGGAAAATATGGGAAAATATGGGGAAAATATGGGGAAAATATGGGGAAAATATGGGAAAATATGGGAAAATATGGGAAAATATGGGGAAAATATGGGGAAAATATGGGGAAATATGGGAAAATATGGGGAAATATGGGGATAATATGGGGAAATATGGGGAAAATATGGGGAAATATGGGAAAATATGGGGAAAATATGGGGAAAATATGGGGAAAATATGGGGAAAATATGGGGAAAATATGGGAAAATATGGGAAAATATGGGGAAAATATGAAGAAAATATGGGAAAATATGGGAAAATATGGGGAAAATATGGGGAAATATGGGGAAAATATGGGGAAAATATGGGAAAATATGCGGAAAATATGGGGAAAATATGGGGAAAATATGGTGAAAATATGGGGAAAATATGAGAAAATATGGGAAAATATGGGACAAAATGGGACAAAATGGCAAAGCGAAGCGGCGAAACTAAAAAATCGGAAAAAATGATAGGGGCAATGAGAAGGGGGTCTCACCCGAAAATAAAATGTTGGGATTGACAAGAGTGAGAAGATCTGAAATTGAATGGATTCATCGACCAAACATCAGGGGGTTGAATCACCCAGAACTCTAAATTTGACATTTGAACAGGAAAAAATCCTTTTCCCATCGCGGTGTGCCGAAACCTGCAGAAGCTCTTCACACCGAAAAAGATGCGCCTGAGATGTGGTTGGACGCCAGAAGGGCAACAAACTCCGGCCTCGTTGTCGCAGTTCCTGTAGCCATCGATCGCTGCTCCAATGGATGAAAAAATTATGCATCCAATTTAGAAATATCAATGGGAGATTTTCATGGGATATCATTTGATATATTAATTATTAACCAACATTTACAAATATGGGAATGATTATATATCACTAATATACATATATCATATATCATTTAATAGACATCAATATATTATTATATTTACTAAGGGATTTTGATTTGTGTAATGATCTTAAATCCTCCAACAGTTGTCCAGTCCTCTGTCCAAAAATTGGGGTATCCCAACAATGGATGCAAAAAAAAACGGAAAATCCTATGATTTATGATATAAAATAGATGATTTGGGGCTACCCCCATTTTAGGAAACCTCCATATGTATATATATATACAAGTCATCGACCGCTTGTTGCACAATTGGGAGGAGTCAGCGTCAACAGGTTTCCAAAAGTCAGCGTTCTTGAACTTAATCACTTTAAGTAACCAGGGAGAATGGTTAATAATTTCTAAATTAACCACTATTAGTTCGTTAACCGTTGTTAATGAGCATTATCAGTCATTGTTAACCATTGCTAGCCATAACAACCATGAGCACTATCAAACTCATGATCACTGACCACTACAAAACCATTGTTAACCATTAGTTTGTTAAACATCATCAACCATTATATATGATCAACATGTATCAACCATTATTATCAACTATCAACCATTATTGTATTACTTGGATTTGCGAACCCCCAAAAACGTAAAACGTATTCCTCAGAGATTCTTCAAAGTCATTTCCGGCAAAAGTCGTCAACAAATCCAGGATTTTGGGTATGGGATGGGTCACCTATGGGTCCATCATTGGGGGGATTGGCATCCTCCTGGCGGTCGGTGAACGCCTGTTCCGGCGAGCCCTTTCGCGGCGAGTCGTCGCCCCGGCTGGCTGTCTTGGGCGTTTCCTGCACCAAAATCACGACGAACTCAGAGAACCTGTTTTAGTAGTGATATTAGTTCATTGTAGTAAATTACCACATCAGCAGGTTACTAACCAAATGTTGGTGAGTTTTAGATCAGTTTTAGTAGTAAACCACTGATGTGGCCTCTATTTTTGGCAAATCCTCCAGTCAACACTCTCACGATGATTCTCTGTCAGAATTGGATCCTATTGGATCATAGGTAAGATGGCTGATGATGGCTGTGGCTCATTGCTGCACCCTCATAGGTATTGGGACTGCCTTCAACCATCCAATTGGGTGGTAACGAAAAATTCGAGCCATAGCCCGTCTTGTGCCAAAAAAACCTATGATGGCTCCATTAATTGACCTTCCAACTCTTGCAAACAATCATTGTTACTACCCTCTGGTAAATTAACATAGCTATGGAAAATCACCATTTTTAATGGGTAAATCTACTATAAATCACCATTTTCAATAGCTATGTTAGTTTACCAGAGGGTACTACAATCACTATGTACATGGATGTCCAATCCCTTCGCATTGCTTGATTGAAATATATTGAAATCATTGATGCCTTGGTACGTCTCGGTGGCGAACGGCTTTGTGAAATCACACCTTTTCGCACCTGTTGCTATGGATTTTCCTCCCCACAAAGATTGTACGAAAAGGTTTCGACCCATCCGCATTTAAATCCCCATGGTTGTTGCTTGACCTTTCCTTTGTTGCACATACGGGTTTGTGTCAAAAATAGGGCACCTACCAAAACCCATTGCTTGAAACCTCATTGCGGGTTTAGACAAACCATTATATACTGATGGTGAATATGCCCACCTTTCCCTGTGCTGGTTGATACCCCTATGGTTGCTGGTGGTCGAGATACTCTGTTGGACAAAGCCATACAGGGATGCATCATCCTTTCAACTACTTGTCACATTTGGGGGGATGAACATCCACAGCTCTTTTAGATGTTCCCTACTGTTGTTTTTTTTCTATCCATGGTCCGTTCCCATATGTGCCATGGTCAAAACATGGCATATATGGCTTACAAACATCCCACCAAATGTGCCATTCGAATTTTGAGTGCACCACCATTTCCCCTTCATATGGAGGTTTCCTAAAATGGGGGTACCCCCAGTTCTCATCCAATTTCCATTATGAACCATCCAGCTTTTCGGGTACCACCATTTATGGAAACCCCCATCTCACTATGAATCATAGCAACTTTTAAAGGACCGCCATCTTCCCCGTTGCTGGTGGTCATCATCCCCACACATTTTTGGGGCTGGACGCCTCGGCATCACTTCCGGAGGAGGGACTGTTTTGAAGGACCTGGCGGACATCAAACCAGGTTGCAGGTCGTCAAACCCCCAGAAAAATATGAGGCACTTGAGGATCAACCCTGAAATGGAACTGGAAAAATATGAATTGGACAAGTGGATTGGCACTTCTGTTCTGGATCAAAGATTCTCTCACTTCCGATTCCACAAAGTTCTGGGCATATCTGGGCAGGAGTCCAGTCCTCCCAGTCCACTGGAGAGTGAATTCAAAAAAGCTGGTTTTTAATGGTTATAATTCTTTGTCCTCCAAAATTATGAGTCCTCCAAAATTTGTGATTCTCTTAATTCTTTGGCTTACAGCCACAAGGGTTTTTGATGGTTTTTGTGATGCCACAATGGAGACAGCTGCCTGGTCGTCACCAGCATTCAGGTAGCCATCCAGGAAGTCATCCGCAAGCATGGACAGGTGGCTCTGGTTGATGCTTTGAGAAACAACCCATCATACCATTGCTGGGAAGTCATTGGGGTTTTTCTCGGTTGATGCTTAGAGGCTTAAGAGGGCTTAGAGGAGTTACCGATGTTGCTGTTCATTCGAAGAATCATCCATGGTTTGGGCTTCAAGCTACTGATGCTACTGCGGCTAGTGTTCGATGTTGACAGCTGGTGACAGCTGGGTGCTTACAGCGCCTGCGCCTGCACGGCTGATGGTTAGTGCGTCACCAGAGATTGAAACAGTAAGGAAGTCCAATGGGGCCTTCGAAGCATTAAAAAAAAACATGCGAATTGGGCGAGGATACAACAACACGAATGATAGAATTAAAACTAGATATATAGCAATGACAAGAAAAATATTATTATCATTGTCATAATGATTGTATGTATGATAAATATATGATAACGGTGATAGCTATGTCGCCATGCCAACTTCCAGCCAAATCACGGGATTTCCGCACAACGGTGCGATTTCGTACGCCCATTGGATCGTCCTTCTTGGAAGGCTTCACCCAAAAACAGGCACTGTGTTGAGGACGAAATGGGTAAGGGTCAACATGGGCATACGAAAAATGGATAAAAATGGATCCTCCAATAATGATTAAAAAATGATCAAAATATCTGAGTGCCTCAATCTTCAAATTCGACCCGTATCCAATTCTCATGAACTCAGATTCGAACTACCGAGACACAGCTCGTGGTTGAGCCTTCAACAGAAGCACCATATGTGCTGGCACACAATGTCACCTGCCCAAAGTCTGGACGAGGTCAAGATCAAAGACTGCTGCGGATCCAGAGAAAGAAGGGCCTCAGATGAACAAGAAACGTGATAAAAATCCCTTCCCCAAAACATGAACTAGCCTTCATATGATTTCACATCCCCAAAATGAATAGATCAAACCATATTAAACCATATTAAACCATTTTTTTTACCAAGTTTTTCAGGTTTTTGTTAATGTTAGGGGGGATTACTTTGCCCATCTAAACGTGGTTTGATTCTGGTTGGATTCTGCCATCACCGTGGCTGTATTGGTTGGTCACTTCCTGTTCATCCCCAGATGACCCACTTTCTCTGTTTCGAATGTCTTGAGTCTGACCTATATCGAGTATAGCCATGATTCCCACTATTTTTTTTTCAATGATGTTCGTATCACCCTTGATTAATCCATGATTCTTAGTCAAAATTGTCCGAGGTTGCTTGTTGGGGAAAAAAACAAATAACTACAAGTATTGCCGGATAAGGTCCCATCTTTTGTCGAGACAAAAAACCATTCCCTCTCTCTCTCGCTTTAACTAACAATCATCTAATTTGGCTAGGTAATGATTGTGGTTTTCGTCTTCGCCACCAAGAAACACCAGGGCCGCCATTCCCCAAGAGGCTTGGCTTTGGGGCGCGGAGGAAATGGACGAGAAGGTCACTGTGCTACTGGCATTGACCTGGCGAGAATAGATATGTATATCAATAGTCTACATACTATAGATGAATTATGTCCATATATATATATGTATGTATATATATGGTTGAAGAACGCCCGAAACCACCCTGAAGCCTATATATATACATACAGTATTACAGTATATAAAATTTACACATATACTGCACCTTTATACATCTTAAATTTGTCGCATCATCTCAAGACCAGGCTATCAAGCCGAGCGCTGAATTCAGAAACGACGTAAAGACGCCTTGCGGCCTAGATACAATGGTTGCATTTCCCTGAGAAACATGAAACTCGTTAGGCATACATACATATATATATATGATAGAGAGAGAGAGAGAAAGATAGAGAGAGATAGAGCGATAGATAGATAGATAGATAGAAAGATAGATAGATAGATAGGTAGATCGATAGATAGATATATAGATATATAGATATATAGAGAGAGAGAGATAGAGAGAGATAGAGAGATAGAGAGATAGAGAGATAGAGAGATAGAGAGATAGAGAGATAGAGAGATAGAGAGATAGAGAGATAGAGGGATAGAGAGAGAGATAGATAGATAGATAGATAGATAGAGAGAGAGGGAGAGAGATACAGAGATACAGAGATAGAGAGATAGAGAGATAGAGAGATAGAGAGATAGAGGGATAGAGAGATAGAGAGATAGAGAGATAGAGAGATAGAGGGGTAGAGAGATAGAGAGATAGATAGATAGATAGACAGACAGAGAGATAGACAGATAGAGAGATAGATAGGTAGATAGGTAGATAGGTAGATCGGTAGATGGGTAGATGGGTAGATAGATAGGTAGATAGGTAGGTAGGTAGATAGATAGATATGGATATATATATATAGATAGATAGATAGATCGATCGATCGATCGATCGATAGGTAGATAGGTAGATAGGTAGATAGGTAGATATAGATAGATGTGTGCATGCTACCATGAATGTAGACTCACAGTAGAACGGATAAGATCAGATAGGATCGGATAAGATTGGTTAAGATAGGATAAGATTGGATAAGATTGGTTAAGATAGGATAAGATTGGATAAGATCGGATAAGATACGATACGATACGATTAGATCAGCTAAGATCGGAAAAGATAGGATAAGATGCGATACGATACGATTAGATTAGATTAGATGGACAGATAGACAAACAAACAGATATGTAGGTATAGGTATATACATATATATATATACATATATATATATATATTATCCATGTGTATGCTTGTGCATATATATATATAATATTTTATATATATATATATGGACAGATATAGACAGCCAGGCAGGCAGGGAGGCAGGCAGATAGATACAGAAACCCCCCCAAAAAAAAGCAATCTATTTGGGAGGATATAGATGCAGATTATGGAGATTCATCACTATTTGAGCAGAATATTACTGTTCAATCTTTTGGGGGCAAGATGATCGTCGGAATTTGATCAGCGCCTCCATGGTGTACAAAAACCATCGATCCTGGCGGTGTCTGAAAATGCCCAACAAATCAATGGCCAGTGTAGTCACAGGAAAAAATGATAAACCACGGTTAAATTAGGCGTATGTTCAAGACAAAGGCACAACCATTCTTGGGTTGTTCAGTCTCTATAGTCGAGAAATCTACATCCAGTTCCGGGAGGGACGGGGGTCACATTCGCCCCTGAAAGAGGGTCACATTCGCCCCTGAACCAAAAGGGGTCACATTCGCCCCTGAACCACAAAACTTTCAATGTGGTACTCAACCCTTTAGGGTTAAACCTGGGGACAAGGGGACATGTAGGGGGACTGGGGAACCTTTAGGGGGGACTTGGGGGCATATGGTAACTTGCCTCTCTACTCAACAGGTTGCTCAACCCTTTAGGGTTAAACCCTGGGGACAAGGGGACATTTAGGGGGACTGGGGAACCTTTAGGGGGGACTTGAAGGCATATGGTAACTTGCCTCCCTATTCAATATGTTACTCAACCCTTTAGGGTTAAACCTGGGGACAAGGGGACATGTAGGGGGACTGGGGAACCTTTAGGGGGGACTTGGGGGCATATGGTAACTTGCCTCTCTATTCAATATGTTACTCAACCCTTTAGGGTTAAACCTGGGGACAAGGGGCATTTAGGGGGACTGGGGAACCTTTAGGGGGGACTTGGGGGCATATGGTAACTTGCCTCTCTATTCAATACGTTACTCAACCCTTTAGGGTTTACCCTGGGGTTAAGGGGACATTTAGGGAGACTGGGGGACCTTTAGGGGCATCCAAACCGTCTTCGAAGGTGCTCGAAATGGATCTTACAACCTAGCATCCATAGTGTCCTGGAAGTTGATTGAAATGGCTCTTGGAAGGTAACATCCAAAGCGTCTTCGAAGTTGCTCGAAATGGATGTTACAACGTAGCAATGGTAAACCGTAGCATCCATAGTGTCCTGGAAGTTGATTCAAATGGCTGTTGGAACATAGCATCCGAGGCGTCTTCCAAGTTGCTCGAAATGGATGTTACAACGTAGCATCCATAGCGTGCTGCTAGTTGATTGAAATGGCTGTTGGAACGAAGCATCCAAAGTGTCTTCCAAGTTGCTCGAAATGGGTGTTACAACGTAGCATCCATAGCGTGCTGGAAGTTGATTGAAATGGCTGTTGGAACGTAGCATCCAAAGCATCTTCGAAGTTGCTCGAAATGGATGTTACAACGTAGCAATGGTACACCATAGCATCCATAGTGTCCTGGAAGTTGACTGAAATGGCTGTTGGAACGTCGCATAGCACGTGAATATGACTCTCTAGAGTGGAAAAAATCCTTTTGAGGCTCTGAAACTATTGCGCCTGCCACGCAAAAGCAGGGGTCACATTCGCCCCTGAACGAGGGTCACATTCGCCCCTGAACCCACTTCATCGCACTTCATTCAGGGGCAAGTGCGACCCAACATGGTTCAGGGGCAGATGCGACCCCCGTGCCAGTTCCGGGATGAAAGCACCTACATGGTAAGCGGGTGGCTATGAGGGAACCACCAATGTTGGTGATGCCGAACCTAGCCAAGGTGAGGAATATCTGTCATCTCGTTTTCTACGAGTTGGTTGATATGGGGTCCCACATTGACTTGGCATCATTCCCATGTATATATACAGATATATTATGTATCCCATGAAACCAATATTTCTAGGACGTTTGGGAGTCGTTGAACTTTTTGGAGATGTGCCAGGCCTTCTTCTGCAGCTGGTCCAGAGGGAGTCCTGGGCCAACTTGGGGGCTGGTCCAGCCATTTGTCCAATTTTAGTGCGGTCCAAGGGGCCAATGTTCACGATGAGGCCGTCTTGGGCACATGCTGCACCTGGAAGGGTTGGGTCTACCAGAAAAAATGGAGAGATGCTGGAAATCAGAAGAAACAAACACGAAACAAATCAGCATCAGTCTGGTTTTTTCCCTCCAAAAGATCAAAAATTGTGACCACACTGATCAATACACCAAAACGCTGAGCACACCCTGGCCAAGTTACGTGAACCCAATCCTTCTCAGCAAAAGACACGTCCCCCAGCCCCGATCATAATGAACACAGCAACACAACGTACTTCAACACGAGATCCAATACTGAACCAGGTTTTCGAAAACTATTGGTATATGATTTAAGTTTTAGCTGATACTTCGGATTATCTTTCAAGGCTATCTACAATATATACCACAATTACCGCACAAGACAGTGGCGGAAGTTTCAAACATAGGAGACCTATAGGAAAGGTTGGTTGTGGTGAATCACGGATGGCAGAGCGAATCCACTGATGGACCGGTGGTTGCAGTTGTGTTTTTGGGAGTGGTTGCAGTGGCTGCAGTGGTCACCTCACCACAACTGCTGGACGTAGTTGCAGCTGTAGTGTAGCGTAGTGGAGTTGTAGTTGTAGTGTAGTGTAATTAGTGTAGTTGCAGTTGCAGTTGTAGCTGTGGTGTAGTGTAATTAGTGTAGTGTAGTGTAATGTACTGTAGTGTTGTGTACTGTAGTGTGGTATAGTGTAGTGTAGTTTAGTGTAGTGTAGTTTAGTGTAGTGTAAAGTAGGTGGTTGTCGTTGTGTTTGTGGTTGTAGTTGTAGTTGTAGTCGTAGTTGTAGTTGTAGTTGTAGTGTAATTAGTGAAGTGTAGTGTACTGTAGTGGTAGTTGCAGTTGTAGCTGTAGTGTAATGTAATGTAGTTAGTGTAGGTGTAGTGTTGTGTAATATAATGTAGTTGTAGCCGTCTTTGTATTTGTAGTTGTAGCGTGCTGCACTGTAATTAGCGTAGTGTAATGTCGTGTAGTTCTAATTGTAGTTGTCACTGTGGTAGTACTAGTTGTTGTAGTTGTAGTGTAATTAGTGTAGTGTAGCGCAATTAGATGTAATTAGTGTAGTGTAATGTCATTATTGTTGCGTGATATAGCGTACTATATATGTAGTTGTAGTTGTAGTTATAGTAGTAGTGCAGTGGTAGTTGTAGCTGTAGTTGTAGTTGTTGTTGTCTATCTATCTGCCTATCTATATCTATATATATCTGTCTATCTGTCTATCTGCAAGCTTGAAAAGGAAGCTATTCTGCGAGACTTCCTCAATGTTTTAACTTGACAACGTTGTGGCAACGTCAACAACGCAATTCTTCGAGACTTCCTGAATGCTTTAACTTGACAATGTCAAAAACGAAGCTATTCTGCGAGACTTCCTCAATTTTTGAAGTTGACAACATCGAAAACGAAGCAATTCTGCGAGACGTCCTTCAAAAATGGAAAGTTGCGTGCAGAGCTGACGGCCTCGTACCAATGCGTTTTGCGATTTTTCCACTCCATCTGTGTAAAGTACTGCGCCTGCCACGAAAAAGTGATGCCAGGTCATACGAAGTGCTGCACCGGTCACGCAAAATCATCTTAGCTAACCTACAGATCTGATGCTCCAAAATCCAACCCCTCTCAGGAAGTCAGCGCCCTGACCTCCTAACACCTCTGATGAACTCTTGTACTGCGCCTGCCATGCGAAATGCATCTCTGCAGATCCTCTGCAAATGCCCCACGCCTGCCATCGTATTTGGAAATGCTACAAAACGCTCACGTTTTGCTCACTTTTGGCAAGGTGCAGAGTCCCTTGCCCCTGCCACGCAAACCGCATCTGAACCTTCAAAAGTGGTCCTAGCATGTCGTGTTTTTAACATTTTGACTTGGAAATGTGCTTCGCGCCACAACGGCGTGCACTTTTTCGACATCTCAACTTCCAAAAGTGCTCCGAACCTGGTGTACTTTGTACATTTTGACTTCCAAATGTGCTTCGCGCCACAACGGCGTGCAATATTTCATCTCTCATCTGGCCAGATGGCTCCGCACCCGCCACTTTAGCGAGCCTACTTTTCGACCCTCCGGAGCCACAAATCATTCGAAAAACACCCAGTGATTCGCAACTCTTGTACCTTTTCGCGCACCTCATCTTCTGTCTTCTGACTCTTTCTCTTCTCTGATCTTCTCTCTTCTTCTCTTCTCTTCTCTTCTCTGACTCTTCCCACCTCTGCTTTTCCATCTGTCCATGTTGTCGGAAGTTTGACTTCTAAACTTCTTTCGATAATTGCCATACCTTGGTGAGTATAGACGCCCTGCACCTGCTGGGGAGGCAGTGACATGGACGGCTCCGATCGTTTGCGTGTTGGGACATTCCCACTTCCTTGGATGTCCGAGCCACGCCGAGCCACGCAGAGCTGAAGTTGGGCTGCTCACCGCGGGGAATGGGAATGTTCCACTTATCCTGGTGCAATCTGAAAGGCTTCTAGGTGCTCAATTCCTAAGCATAGACCTCATTGCGCCCCACCAGGCCCACCAGCTGCAACTAGGACACGGCAGGTTGTACAGGAGATCTTGTGCAAAGGTGCAGTCCAAATGATCACCAGACGTATAGAATCTTGGAAACCAATACACCAAAGGTCGACCATCTTCCTCCGCCGCATGTCCCGCCGTATAGCATCAATCACGAGAGAATCACAAACAACAACCATCTTGGGCTGATGTGAATACACCACAAAACGGGACAAATGCACCAGCAATTGCCATGATAGAAAATGTTGCTGCAGTTCATTTGATCTTCCGTAGAGCCATGCACAATTTAGCTTGTAGTTGGTTGGGCCTAAAAGGCTACCAAAGAAGCGATGATGTAGCACAATTCCGTGCGTGACAATCCCATTTCTTCCATTTCTTGGGATACAAAATCATATGGCAGTGCGTCAAAACCTTGTACCCCTGGTGAACATCAAAATAGCTGGTAAATGGATGTTCATTCCCCTAAAAATGGTATCTATAGGTATTGATCCATAGCCATATCTCTCCTGGCAGAAAAGTATTGGTAGAACATGGTGGAACCATCCCTCAGCGGGCCCCTCCTGTTGCATGTCGAGCACATGTACCCTCTCACCGGTCCCAAGGATTCCTGACAAAAATGGGGCGAAGGAAGGAACAAAAGTGAAGATGCTAAGCAACAAAAGGATACAAAAGGGGCCAATCACGAAGGCCAGAAATGTAGAGAGAACTTCTGAACTACCGCTTAGGCTTGCATAGATCTGACTTTGTTGCAGTCCGAAACCCTGGAGCATCAAGTTCAATTTCGGACTCCGGAAAATAAAGATATATAATAAAGGGACTGTGCATGACTGCAATATTCCATGCTGCTCAGGTTGATGACGGCTGTGAAGGTGAATGTGACTCAACATTCTCGAAAAGTGAGAACTACCTCGCCAATCACAACTATGGTTGTACCCCAACTGCTCGTGTCACAAAGTCGGCCCACCTTCACCGTTCAGCACTTGGTTGATGTACCAACTTCTGCTTTCAAAGCACAGCCGCCAGCGAAAAAAGACCAAGTCTTGCCCGGCCACATCGCTTTCCCAGTTCTTTCCCCAGGTATATCCATAGAGGCTCATCTTCACCCGCCCTGGGCTGATCTGCGTGTTGTCGCCGCAAAGGATCTTGCTGGGAAGCACCATCACATCAGGAGCCACAGTAGTGATGTTGCCCGCCTGACTTGGGAAAATCGAGGGGTTGTTGGCTGATCCCAAACAATCCTCAAAGCTGTGGTCGCCCAATGGCAGCTGCGCCCTTTGTGGCAGCTGCTTTCTGGTCGAATCTAGTCACCTAGTCGCCCATGGAAAAACTACCCTCTGGTCAAACGGGGCGCGCTGGAAAATCCCCCAGAAATCGCTTGAGGATTTCCCAACCAAACTGACGACCGGGATGTCCAACACCTTGCCACACCGGTTTGTACTTGGCAGATTCCGCTGGTTGTGAGTCATGTGGTACACCCAATGCCATAAACCATCCCCCTAACCAACCGTTGGGTTATTTTAAATCACCCCAAACAGGGGTATATCGAACCATGAACCAAAGTTGGGGATGGTATGTGCTAATTCACATGATGTCAAACCGCGGAACTGCTGGTGCCCTAGACACTTTCCCAATGCAGCGACATCTGGCATGCCATAGTCCCAAAACACCACAACTCTCTTCTGCAAAAAATCTTTGCTTGAATCTGGAAATGCCAACCTTGGCTGCCAAGGCTTGCTTTACTGCCTTGGCTGGTTTACCCTCAAATTCATCTGCGTCAAGAACTGTCAGCACACGCCCCGAGCTCAGAAACACACATCCATTGCTGCAGTAAAGCATCGCAACATGAGAATCCAGATTATCCATATCACAGCAAGATTCTCCAGATGTAGAAATCCATACAGCGAAAAAAATGAAAAAACATTAGATGCTTTGGCCTTCAACCCTTGACATGTCTTGATTTTCAACGGATGGGACCGTACAGTACTCCAGTGGGAGACCTTCTACAGCGGAACACATAGGAAAACCTATCGGTCATAGCTGTGGAACCCATCTCATAAATCCCCCGTGTCCATCTATGTCATGTATTCCCCTGATATCCCCCTACTGGTTAGTTTCTCTTTCTTCATGTGATTTCATCAGCATATTTGATGCTTCAATTCCCATATCTCCCATCATCATGTGCGGCTATAGCTGGAAGAAAAACTTCAACAAGAGGAATCCAACCGCAACCCTTCCCTTCCCTGCCTCGCTATCCCCATCCCCATCTCCATCGCCCTGCAAGCGTCGAACATCGTCTCCAGTCTCTATGGGCATCTCGCACGTGTCTAGGCGAGATACCTCCGTGGTTTGGAAGGCCGTCTGCGGGCTGCTGCTGATGAAGTCCTGCCAAAGGAGTGGACTTCACCAGGAATGGGAATTGGCATGGCTGGTGAAGAATGGGTTAGAAGTGCTCCATAAGTGGTTTTCATACATGGGGGTATGGATCAAACAAGGTACCAAATTGGACCCACATATTTGGTCTCTAGAATTGAGCCGTCCATGCTAGCAGTCCAATATTTATTTCACCTACGCCCATATAGAGGGGGCTTGCATCGAAGCAAAAATTAGGTTTAAAATATACTGTAACCAAACTGTTCATTGGGGATAATATCACTGACAAAGCTTTAGCCAATGATATATACGTATATCAACTCGTGCTTGCGAAAAATTGAGGTGTATATAGCCTTCTTTTTCATCAACCAACGAATGGGAAAGCACATCTATGGCTACGGGTCGTGGGCCCTAGCCCATGAAATTTCCCATATTGGCAACAGGAGGGAGTCTGAAGGTGGGTCTCTCAGCCAAGGCTGACCCGTGTCCCTGAAAGAAACATCGCTCTGGCCCACGGGTCATCTACTTTCACTATGTGATATCTATTTCTGATCATGTTCAAAGTCCCCCTAAATGCCACATTCATCCCTCGTCACTAGCCTGCAGCTCCAGCATCTAGGAGAAGACTTAGATTTAGATCTGCATCTCCAAAAAAACATCGGGACTCATGCAACCAAGTCATGCAATTGCGGATGTTTAATAAACAGTAATCATGAATCATGGTACAAATTCCGGACAATGAGGCTCCCAAGTCATCCGCCATTTCACAATCTAGTTCTACGAACTGGAGCCCGGCTTTGGAGGTCCAATTTTTTTTCAATCCAGCACACGCCCATCTTTGAGCTTCATTGTGAACATGACATCAGGAGAACAGATGGGAGCATGGGCCCCCATTTTGAAGCAATTTCAAAGAGGAAAATGAATACCACTGGATTTGGGGGGCACCCTATTCTCAGACAAGCCAGATCGGGCAAGATCTTGAAATGACCTCTTCAAACCACCATAATATGTTCTTGTTCTTCTCGCTTGGGAAGTGAGGAAATGTTTACACTTCCACGAAATGCAACTGACCCATCTCGAAGAGTTCGGTTGATCCATTCCATCATGAAAGTACACTGCCGGTCTCGCTGGTTTCCATCGATCACCTGTGTACCACCTTTCGATGCCACCTGAAACTTCAGAATGGGCGCCTCCCCAGACTGGGGCCAGACGGGCCAGCGGTCCCCATGGCCACCCGGATGGCCCACATCTGCGAAGCGATACCAGGACATAGCCACTTCCTCTGCCAACTGCCACTCTTCCAACGAAGCATTCTCCGTCAAATTCATGAAGAGAAATGGCAACTCGCTGGAGTGGTGCACAATGGGGCTATCACTCGAAGATGCAAAGAGATAGCCAAAGACCGGGGAACCCGTGACCGCCAGGCTTCGCCATGCAAAATGGCTGGGGCAAAAGAAATTCTGGTCGGTGACTGCCCGCTCAGCAGACCACCAACCATCACTATAGCCAGGCAAAGATACATGGGATTCGGACCTGTACAGTTCCGCTTGCCCTCTTGAAGACTCATATTGGTCTTCGAAGAGTGTCACAAAGTCTGTGAAGCTCAGGTTGTACTGCTCAAAGAATCTTGAACCATCGTCCAACGTAATTCCAGTAACTGTTGGAACATGGTTCACCCTCTGCTGCTTCAACAGCTGGAGCGGATGATCTGGGAGCTCAACACCATCAATGGTCGGGGCCCAGGGGATACCAGGCGCTGCCATCATGTCTTCACAACACCTGGGGCCCTGAGGCGATAGCTTAGTTGGCAGAATAAGTATGGGGATAGTGGTGGATATATCTACGGTTACATGGGTTTATAAACCTTATCTAAATATGTCTATAATATATATATACATATATTTAGAACTGGGGGGAGCCAGATTGTGGGTACTAGTATGGGTCAAACCTAAGGCCCAAGAAGTCACAGATGACTTGGCCATCATCCGTGTCTGCTGTGAGGTCGCTCATATGCCAAGATCTGGCGTATTTTTTGGGGGTCCCCAATCCATTTTCTGGGCATTATTCCATCCATTTTCTGGGATACAAAATCCAATTTAAATGTGGTTTATTAGACAATCCACGGGTATCCAATTCTGACACACGCCTGCCGTGCGGAATGGCCACATACGCAGACAACAGTTCATCAGCAGGAAGAGTCACCAGGCATTCGACCGTGCGGCACTTGGTGTGATTCATGAGCTTCCCGAACCAAAGCTCCTGGTCACAGCATTCACATTTCCCCTGCAAGTTTAAAGGCAATTGTTTGATTTGATATATACCAAAAACAGATTCGCCAACTATAAAATAAACAACCTCAGCTGATCCCTGCAGACAAGTCAATTCTTCATGGATATCCACAGTTTCAATTGGGGCCTTAAGACAAATGCACAAAACCAGCCAAAATGGGAGTTTAAGGGACCAAATATGCAGCTTCAGTGTCTATAAACCCTGAATATCAAATATTCCTCCATCAAAACGCCCCAACAAGGAAAAACTATGAAAAACTCACCTGAAAAAAAAAATCCTTCACCCATCGGTTGACTCCATCCCCACTCCTTGTGCTGCATGTTCTGTGCTGACCACCCGGCAAATCCACCCGACTCCATCAGGGCTCCACTGTAGAGACCATTGGACAAAGGCATGGCCAGATGGCAGGAGACGCTGCCTGCACCCGCGGACTGACCGAAGATCATCACCTGATCCGCTGACCGAAGAGTTGGACCATTTGGACGTCCTGTCATACCCTTTTTTTTCGATGGCATTGATTGGCAATAGAGCAGTTCCAATGTGATCAGTTCAAACATACATCCTATATATATATAATTATATCTGGTTGGTGATGTTTTTGTGATGATTATGATTACAAAATATTATTATTAGTAATATTATTATTACTACTATTACTATTATTTTTGGTTCATAGATATTCCGATCATAGATTCTGTACAAACTATCATTCCCATTAGACCAGGTAGAGTAAATCATTCCAATCTTTCTACCTTGGCTTGCAAAAAACAAGGTTGAAGTTGTATGCTACTAGCTTTAGAGTATATTTAGTAATCCATTGCGAGAACATCTTGCGATGGATTGTTTTGCAGAAATTCCAGTCATGGATAATCTATAGATGATCAGGTATGATCGCCACAAGACCAACCAGTTTCCCCACTTAAAAGCCATGAAAACTCGTGATTGGACATGCATCCCAGATAGTAATTGGTTTATAGTCCACCTCCCACGTAAAACTGGATGAGCAGGGATATTCATTGATCATTGGCTTATTACTCATGTGAATTAGCCACTTGCTATATATATATACAATATATGTATACTGTAACCATGATGCTGCCCCGACCTTATTCGGATTACCGCCAAAAGCTGCAATGTTCTCTTGAACCCAGCGAAGGGCCATACGCTGATCTTGCATACCATAGTTCCCCGTGGAGCGCGACACATCACGAGCCCGCAACTGGTCACTGCCTGTTGAGCTTTGGAAAAGGTAACCGTTTAACATCGTTTAACCCTTTACCCAATGGAGTTCCAAAAGAAACCCAGCAAACCAGGGCCCGGTACGTGAAGGATGTTGAACCCAAATATTTTAGCCAACTCATTTCCAATGACAAACCACTAGGCTCGATGCCTAGGAAGCCGAAGACGTTCAGCCGATAATTCAGAGTCACAACCAAGGCGTAGCTCTGTTGAGACCTCCAAAAGTTCACCAACTTTGTGGCGTTGTAGTCATTGCTGGAGCCCGTTTCAAAGCTACCGCCATGGATCCACACCAAGCAAGGCAGAGACGTGTTTCTTTGGGCTTCGGAAGGCGCATAGACATTTAAATATAGGCAATCCTCGCTGCCTCCCTTGGTTAACACGTCTTTGGACTTGATCGACATGCAGTAGCTCCGATATCGCGAAGCATCATGGACGCTCTGCCAGGGCTGGATGGGCTTGGGGGGTCGCCAGCGCAGGGCACCCACGGGAGCTTCTGCATATGGGATCCCACGGAAGACATGAACCTGGCCCTCACTGATGCCCCGAATGCGTCCCACAGGTGCTGCAACTTCTGGAACGCTTAGAGATGCACCGAGGCAGATTGATTCCAGGAACAGGAGCGTTGTTAAGACCATCGGAAAAGCAGTTGCTTTCCCAAGAAACAGGACGTTTTCTTGATTCACAGCGGCTGCAGAAAATCTGCCAAGACCATCAGTAAAAAGTCACTACAAACAGCCCTTGAGGTGATTCCAACAAAATGACACATTTACCAACCACAGCATCTCAATGGCCTTCAGGTTTCCCTGGGCTGCTGAAAACCCCGTGAGGTCATATTTTTCATCTCAGCTGCAACTTCCAGAGCCCACCTGAAACTGAAGGGACGCGGTGCCAGACTCGCCCACATAGGTCGTCAAGCCAGCGTAGGCACCAGAGAAGCGACGGCCCACACCGATGCCATTGGAAATCAGCGTGTAAGTGTAAACCTCACCGGTCTCAGGAGCTGTGTCTGATACCATGTAGTATACCCCCACTCTATGGCTACTTCAATAGGAAAACGGTAATCATCTATAGGATTTTGGGAGTACCCTATATGCATAGGAAAACCCACGTTGCTGTTGATTGTGTGTGTGCGTGTTTGTGCACTGACAAGCCTGGAGTCTACAAAGCCAACCAATCCACTTCCCACTTCCCAAGTCTTTCCATTAGCCCCAGGCTAGCCCCAATAAATTCGCAAAACAGGACACTGCGAAACAGTGCGAAACCAAGACACGGGGGAGGTTGGATCCTCAGGATCAAACTCCGAGACCTCCTGAGTCCGCAAACTCTTGCAGTTTAGAGAAACTCAGAAAAACCAGGACTTGCGACCCCTTACACAATTTCATGGCCTTTCCTCATAGAGCTATTTATTATGATCTTTTCCGTTTCTTTTTGATGTCGTTGGTCAAAATGGAGGGTTTGATTTGGATCAACATGTCGCACCTGGTTCATATAGAAGCGCCGAGAGGGCCACATGTCATCGCCCACAGCCATCTGGCGATCGGTGTCGTTGAGGTCACCAACATGCAGTTCCAAAAGCTGGAAGTTGGAGGTGCCTAGGCCGCCAGGTGTTTTCAGGCCATCATAGGCCATCCCAAGAGGAACAACAATTGGGATGATTCATACCATAGATTTCTTCCAGAGGTTCCTCCAGATTCCTTCCAAGCTCGGAAGTTTGAATGAAAAATTCCAGCATCTGAAGCCTTTTCCAATTGACAAAAGATACAAACCCGCATCCTCCACTACAATAGATGTTTATTTGTTTGCGCCTGAACATCCACCATGCAGTTGTCATGAAAAGAAAACAGTGTCTGCCATGACAGTGCAATTCCAATGCAAACATGTGAAATAGATGATATGTACAATGCAGGCAAATGACTTGACACCCAGGTGTGTCCAAAACTGTAAAAGTGTCTTAAAGATTATGAATCAATGTTTTTCATACTGAACTCACTCCTCATTAATCTGCCCAATTGTTGGCATCAAAAAACATCAACCAAATAAAATATCCGAATATATGGTCCGTCGCCACAGCCAGTTTGCATTGTCTTAAAACTTGCAACATCAAACTATCATGGTTTATCCAAGTTATCATCATATGGGGTTTCCTAAGTCATGGGATAGCTGGATGGTTCATATGGAAAATCCAAAAATAAAATGGATGATGACTGGGGGTACCCCTATGACAGGAAACATCCATATTCCCTTTGAAACATCTTTCAAATTGCCATGAAAATGCCATATTTCCCAGGTCTTCCTGATGCTGTCATGATGAGGGTCCCATAAAAAAAATGGTAAAAGGGGGATGCTAGGACATCCCAGCGTTTATTGTTGGTTGTTATGGTTTTTATGTTAGTGTTCAATGTTTCTTCCTTATCTTTGATGTTTTATGTGGTGGGGGTTTTGGGACTATTTTACCCCTAACTTTCACTTGATGGTTTGGTTTAAGATGAGGGGGATAATTGTTTAGACTGTTGGGGTTTTGTGTTTGTGTTTGGGCGGGTGATTACTTCATAATATGTTTGGTTAAGATATTATGAATTAATCTTTTATGCTTTCCACTTTCCTATTCCATCCCACCAGTTTTCAATTACTCTCATTTGTGTTAAGCACGGTTTGCTTGTATCGTTTAGTTCATCCATCGCTATTGATAAAAGAATTATATTAATAACCATAGCGTAATAACCACCTCTTTTATTGAATTCTTTTCCACATTGTATGATTATATCTTTATTAGTTAGGTTTTCATACATTCGTTTGATATGTCAGGTTCTTTTTGTTTCCATATCTTAAACCGTTCTACATTACTTTCCTTAAATCTATCAAGGACAGATTTCCAAAAATCAAAGTCTTCACGAGATGGTAAGGGATGACACCTTACAAAGTCTCTAATATCTTCATCTTCTTTTTCTATTGCTTTTCTTTCCCAGTCATCGTCCTCGCTTTCACTACCAAAGTCAGCATATAAACCGATATTACCTATATCTATAACCTCAATTTTTGCTCTACTCATTTTCTCTTATTATATATAGTTATTTTTTCTTTAAGTATTTACCACTTTTTGTAGATACTCTTTTATTTCTTCTACATTAAAATATTTTTCATAACCATTGAAAAGTTCTTCGGTGTATTCACGCAAAAATATTTCCAAAATGTCTTTTACCTTAAACTCCCTATTTCTGAATGTATAAGTCCAATCGTTTTGAGGAAACCACCACTCCCGTTTGTTCTTACAATACTTCATATATGTAAGGTCGTGAAAGTGTTTAAGGAAGTGATAGGTAGTTTTCCACTCCCTTTTCACAAAAGACTTAATCGCCATTAAGAACAGTTTGTCGTGTTTGAATTCTTGCTTGAGTTTGAATGTATCCATTAAAACATAAATTTCTCTTTTCATTTGCCGAGTGTTTGTTCGGTTCGTGTTGGATAAATAAATAGGTGATTTCTCCATCCTTGTTTTAAAGAAATAGATTATCTTTTCAACTCTTGTCAGTTTTTTATCATTAAAATAGTCAAAATGATAATTGAAATCTATGTATCTACGCTCCCTATCGTTTAAGTCTTTACATTTTTCACAGTGAAGGTTGTAATCACATATCTCATCACAAATTCCAGCGGGAAAAATATTGTTCAATAAAACCTTTAGGTTAGTCATTTCTTTCTTACAACATCCACAGTTTTTATAAGTAAATAGCATCCTCTTACTATATATAGATATTTTTTCTTTAAGTAGTTTTTGGGGGCTCGTTCAGTTTTCGGGTTCGGGTTGGTTTTTATTTTCCCTTTCCTCCTCTTCCAGTTCCTTTATAACCATATCTATTTCACTCATTCCTTCGTTGGGGTCTTGTCCATTGGCAAGGTTTCTTAACCTCTCAAAATCCTTCACTTTGTGTCTTTCGTTGGGTGGGAGGGTTTGGAGATGTTCCTTCAACTCTGTCAGGTCAAAGTATGTGTCGTGTTCTTCATCCTCATTTTCCAAAAACATTTCCATTCGTTGCTTTTCCATTTCGAGAAGTTTGTTTTCCATCTGTTGGAATTTCATTTGTTTCTTGCCACACTTTCCACAAACATTCACGAAGGTTTTTAACAAATAATTCCAACTAGGTTTTTTGTAATCACCATTGTTTAAGGTGATGCACTCACTCATAATACGACATCCACAGTCAAATTTAGTCATCTTATTTACTCTTACTATATATAGGTTTTTTTTTAAGTATATTTTTTTATTGCTGATAATTTTAAAAATCTAATATTAGAATATATGGCAACGAGACTATCAAGAGATGACATCATAAGCAATGTCTATTACAATCTTGAAACGGGCTTCGGTTCAATCAATGAGACACTCAACAAAGCCAAGTAACAAGACCAGACCATCAACAGGGTGGATGTGGAAAACTTTATGAGGAAACAGCCCAACAAACAGATTAGAAAATACAGGGGTTCAAACTCCTACACCGCACCATTCGCAAGGTTTGAGTATCAAATTGACATAATGGATATGAAACCCCTAACTAAAGAACCAGAGACAAAAAATCCCATCAAGAACGGCGAACCGAGATACGGGTTGGTGGTCATTGACATCTTCAGCAAGTTGGCAAACGTCGTCCCTATGAAAGAAAAATCTGGACCAATCACATTATCGGCGACGAAAGAGAGTTTCAACAAAATGGGTTTTCCGATGTCCGTTTATAGCGATAATGACCGTGCCTTCCAAGCGGGGGTAAAAGATTTTTTTGAGAAAGAAGGCATCACTCACGTCGTCACCCTAACACACGCTAATGTTGTGGAACGTTTCATAAGGACAATGAAAAATATGATACACGACAGGGTCAGGTTTAATCGGGGCAGTTGGACTGTGATGTTGTCCAAAGCGTTAGATAAATACAACGACACCGTCCATTCATCCACCAAAATGAAACCCAAGGATGCCCACGACGACAAAAACCATATGGACGTCAGGGTAAATTTGACAAGGAGGGAAAAGAACACTCGCAAATATCCAGAGGTCAAAGTGAATGATATGGTCAAGGTCTTTGAGAAGAAAAAAGACAACTACACCGAGAGGAAGGAGTATAACTCAAAGTGGAGCAATCAATCCTACAAAATCGTCAAGATAGAATACGATGATGTCGGAAACAGAACCTTCAAACTGGATCAAACTGGAAGGATTGAACAAACCGTATTTGAGGCACGAGATTTTGAAAGTATAAAAAATTATCTATATTATTAATATATGACAGAGGTAGTCGTAAAAGAGATTGATAATGAAGAACCCAAGGAAGAAACAATACCAGAGCCAACACAGGAAGAAGCACCGAAAGAAGAGGAGAAACCAGAAGAAATAATTGAACCATCCGTTGAAGAGAAACCGCAACCAGCCCCAAAGCCCAAAAGGGTAAGACCGTCAAGGGCGAAACCACCTTTTGACCCAGAAGCATTCAAAAGCGACCTTGTAAAACAAATAAAGGAAGAACTACAAAGTGCGATGTCCGCCAGAGACACCTACAACAAAGCCAAAGAGGAAAAGAACAAAGCGACGAGAGAGAACTTGAAATCTTTAGCATCAAAAAGTTTGTAAAGTATTATATATAAAAATGAACATCAAGGAACAGAAAATAGAACTCAACAAAACAGACATCTACGAAAACGTCCGCAAGGACATCAACAGAAGACAAACCGTCCATTCAAACAAAAGTGCCAACTACCGGAGCGGAACGCCCGAAATGCCAGACAGAAGAAAAAAAAGTGTATAGTAGTTATGACCACTACCACCACAACGACAGCAACACGGCAAGGATGCCAACTCACAACCATCATCTTTACCTAAAGCGCCTTCTTGAATATCACAACACCGAGCACGATTACAAAGTCTTACAAGTAAAGCAGAGGATGAAGGAAGAGAATGAGATGCTACAGAACGAAATGACAAGGTTGAGGGAGGTGAGGAAAAATCACAGATTGGAAGATTACGGGGCGAACGTCCAGAATATGAAACAGAGAATTGATGAGTATAAACAGTGGTTGAGAGGCGATACACAAGATTAATATAAAAATCTCAACTATTAATATATAGCAATGACAGCAGAAGTAATCAACGCAAAACAGGGATTGACACGAATACCCACTTACGCAGAACTCATCAAGGAAATAGACAGGGAAAAGTTCAAAACCAATGACATCAGAAAAATCTTTGATAGGAACGCTTGGTATTTTCACGAAAGTCCGCAGGGTCAAGCACTGAACACAAACAACATCCACCCAGCAGACTTACAGCAAATGAACTTCAAACAGATGGCAGAGGAAGCGACCGCAAGGAAGGAAGAAGAAACACCCAACCTTGACTTTGAAGGTATGACAGACTTGAGGGACGATGCCATCAGCGACTTCGAAATGTCCTTTGACAGAGAGGCAGAGTTGAGGGAAGAGAACGAAAGGAGAGTAGCAGAACAAGCAAACTTAAGTCATTCACAAGACCACTATATGGCAAACAAAGGGGCATACGACGCCGTTGGAGCAACGGCATCGGCAGGGATACAAGAAGACGAAGAACCGCCTTCAAGCAGTAGAAGCATCTTAAAGAAATTCCTTAA